GTTCAGTGCAGAAAGGGGAAAAGCGATATTTGAAAACATTCGAAAATAAATACCGATATCGGTTAATGTTGCATACTTCCGCTATTCACTGTATTTATAAATAAATAAATGGTCGATCATAAGGAAAAAGTGAAGAGAGTGAAGAAAAAATTGTATCAAATTTTTTTATCATTTTTGTTTTGAAGGTAAAGTTGCCCTTGGCAATGATCAAAATTGACAATGTTAATAATATTTATTTTTTTCTGTAACTATCCTCATTCAATCATGTCAAATTTGATCGCAATGAACTTGAAAATAAAAGGAAAAAAATATCTTGTTTTTTTTATTCGTTTAACACAATCTCCGTCAATCAATCAATTGATCTATCGATCGATTTCAGCCAATCGGTCATTCAGTCAGTCACCCTTGTGTGTGTGTGTGATACTAATTAACATTTTTGAGAAGAAAAGAAAAAAAGAACAAAAATTCTTGTGAACAAATGATTTCCAAATTTAGAAACATTCTTTTTTTTGAATGATTCTATTTTCTCAAAAAAAATGTTTATTACTTTCGTTGATCAATAATCATTGTTGACAGTTTTTTTTTGAATGTCAAACCCTTTTTTTTGAAACATTTTTGAATCTTATTTCGATTGTTTTTATATTATTGGTCATCATCAAGTAAAGGAACTTGTTGTTGTTGTTGCCAACTGTTGTGTGTCATAAACTGATGATAATTCATTGTCATTATCAAACTAGTCCAAAAATGTATCCATAAATGACAACCGTTCAACCAACCAACGATAATGATAATGATGATGGTATTTGAATAAACGAAATGAATGATAATCCAAAAAGGATGATGATAAATTGTTTTTGCTGGAATTATCATCTAATCCTTAAAATGTTAAGATTGTTGTTTTCTCTTATTTTTTTTTTCTTCTCTTAATGACATACATTTTCAACAAAAAAAAAAATTTCATTCCACAAATCCTGATCATCAAAGTTTTAGTTCTCTTCCTTGTCCTCTTTCATACTTGATGATGATAATGACCTCACACACACACACATTAATATACATTATATATGTTTGTTTGATCCGTTTTCATAACCCGATATATATATATTTTTTTTAACAAAAACATTTATATATGATGGCCGCCGGTGATCATCAGCCTTGATCTTGGAAAGTTAAGTTTTTTTTGTTGTTGATATATTTACTTTTTATATTTCAAAAAAGATAAGTTTTAAAAGAGATCTAGTTTCATTCAACAACAACAACAACAAAAAAACATATACGGACACAGACTTATATAAAAGTAGAGTATAGAATGTTTTCCGTTAAGATAGTTGTTTTTTTTTCTTTTCTGTCCCTCAAATGTTGTTTTCTTCATTCTCAAATTGGCTGTTGTTGTAAGGGATTTTTTTTGTCCTTCTGTGGTTTTTTTTTCAAATTCAATGAATGAAATTTATCTTGCCTCTTTCTCTCTCTCTTTTGTAAATGAGTGATTGTTATCAAGTTCAGGGCAAGTATGATCTGTATTATATAATGTCGCCATTTTTCACGAATGTTGAATATTATGAAGAAGTAAAAAGTAAGAAATTAAAAGGGGAAGAAGAGAATAGGTCACAGGTTAGATAACTAGTTTTTTTTCATTTTGCTTTATCATTTTGTAATGAATGAAAAAAAATGTTGTTGTTGTTTGAAGCTTACAATCACATATCATCAGTCCGGTTGTTCCTGTTTTTCTTTTCTTTGTTTCCTGAATATATTTTTTTGAATTAATAGAAAGAGATACAGATGATGTCCGTATTTAAATGAATTTTAATTCATATTTGGCCATGAAAATGAATGTTGCGAATACTAGGTTTGTCCTTGATTTTGTTGTTGTTGTTTTTTCTGTTAATGCCCGGGTCATCATAACATATATAAATGTTCTAATAATAATGATGTTGATGATGGCATTTTTTATTTGAAGAAAAGTTTCCGCATTTCAAATCAATTTGAATCCTTTTTCATTCTTGTTTTGTATGATGATGATATTTTGTTTATACACATTTTTATTATCATAATTTCAAGAAGAACGTAGTTCTTGACACTGAAAAAAATGATTATTTTACCATGAAAATTATATTGTTGAACTTGACCATATCAATGATGTTTTGTTCTTGAAAATAAGAAAACTTTCCCTTGAAATTCATTGTACAAAAAAAAATCGATTTCATTACATTTTGGAAATCAAGAAGAAATTTTTATATTAAGAGATTATCACGAGGATTTAGAATTGAAATATTGAATCTATGCATATTAATGATGAAATTTTCAGATATTGTTTTTGAAATCAAATCTATAATCTATAATGATTTATACATTTTGTTCTGGTTTATTTTAATCAATTTTTTTCAATTAAAAAATCTATATTTAATTGGTGACATTCAATGTCACCGTTTTGTATAAATTGAAAATAATAATATTGGTTTGATTTATTTCATTTTTACCGGTTTCGCATCATAAAATTATTGTTAACTTTCAAGGATAAAAGTATTTTTTTGTTCTTCTGATTATGTTGATGATAATGATAGATAGTTGTGTGTTTGTGAGTGCGTAGAAAATAATCATTGACATTGGCAATGTATAATAATAATAATGATTAATATTATTGACATTGAATCATCCATGGCCAATGTTAACGATAATTATCATTCAAATATTGTGCATGTATTTAATTGATTGATTGATTAATTAGTTAATTTTAACGTTTTTGTTATGTATTAATTATTAATTTTTTAAAAAAAATTTTAATTTCTTTCCGTTTTTCATATTTTAGACGAGATTGATTGTCTGAAATTTAGCAAGCTGTCAATCGGCTCGCCACCAAATTCTCGTAAAGATTATTCAAGATCATCAGTGGTAGCTGCTACAAATGTAGCAGCCGCTGCTGCATCAATGGCGGCTGCTACTGTTCATGGACATCATCATCATCACCATCATAATCACCATCATCATCATCATCATAATCATCATCATCAAATGAACGATTATTATAATCATAATCGACAAAATATGAACAATTATGGAAAACCATTATTACCAAGGATTGATTTTCCAACCAATCAATTTGATCGATTATTACATATGGATCAAAAAGAATTTAACAATAATTCAAAGAAACATATTGGTGGTGGTGGTGGTGATAATAACAAAAAAATTCATAAAAAATAATTTTTTTTTCAACAAAATGCAAAAAAATTAATCATTTTGTATATATTTTATAATCATCAAAAATTCATTCACAAATTCTATCATCATTATCATCTAATCATTTGGAATATATTTATTCTTTTTTTCTATCAAATCATTCAATCTATCTATCTATCGATCACATAATATTTATTCTTTTATTTTCCTATTTCTTTTTCTTTGAATATTTATTATTATTATTATTATTATTGAGATTATGATTTAATAACTTTTTTTTCGGTAGAACAGAATTTACCATGAACATCATTCAGGTTGATACATCATTCATGATTACTCTTAGATGATAGAAACTTGAATTATTATTATTTATTTTGTTTTTTTGTTTTACCCCGTTTATATTCTGTCGATCTTCTGTCGATATACTTACAACACAACACAAGGAAACAAAAAAATTGATTTTCTTTCGTTCTCTTTATTTCTCTCTTTGATGAGATTACCTCATGAATTCCATCGTTTAAATAACCTGACCTCATCATCATGATTACCGACAGGATTATTATTAAGGTTGATAATGATAATCATTATGAATAACATACATCATCATCCGTGTTTTTTTTTCTAAAATGTTTTCTCATGATGACCTCGATGACCGAGAAATGAAACAAAACCAAAACAGAAATTCTTTATAATGCTTTTAAAGCTAATTTCAGTATTTATTGAATACTTTTTTGTTGTTGTTATCGTCATGATCACTTTTCCAACGAAAATCAAGAAAAAGGACAGAAATAATGATAATGATAATAAACCAGGAATAGGAAATAATGAATGAATAACCAGGAAAAAAACAGAATTAAAGAGAAATAGTTTTTTTTCTGGAAAAAAACAAAGCAAAAAATAATTAACCCATCCTGAATATCAATCATTCATGTTTTATTTTTTTTTCTTTAGTTTTTTCTTCTTTCCTTTGTATTTCCTTGGCTTCGATATTAACCATCCACACACCTGTTACACAACAAATTTCCACACACACACACACACAATCTTATTATGTGAATCGTTTCCTTTTCGGGTTTATTTTCCTTCTACCAAACAAAAAACAAAGCAAAAAAAGACTTTTTTTGTAAACCAAAAAAGAATAACCCTTACTGAATACTGATTTGTTGACCAACTTACCAAACAACCAAACCTATTTTACAACCCTATTTCAGGTTTTAAGTAAAATTTATTTATTCATTCTTATATGAACATCCACAACAACAACAACAACAACAGCAAGATGATAACAAATGATGACTTTGAAAAGTTACGATTATGATCACTTTTTTTTTGTCGATGACGGTCACTTTACTATTCAAATTGAAAGAAATGTATGTGTCCTTGTTTACCCTAAAAAAATAACAAAATTCTAGTTTTTCTAGAAATACCTGGTTTCTTCTTACATACATAAATACAAACAAACAAACAAACACACACACACACACATATATTTTGTACAAACTGATCATGGCATCCTTTAGGTCATCATCATCTTCATCGTTGTTACATCAAATACATTGGATGTATTATGTATACAACGACGATCAAATGATTTTTTTTTATTCGATTCAAAATTTCAAAATGCTTATGATGCTCAAACAAGATGAATGTGATTTTGTGAATGGATCGATGAAATCGAAATTTTTTTTATTTTAATTTTCATATTTTGATGTATTGAAAACAATACAAAAAAAAAAGATTTGTAACAAAAAAAAAATCCCAACACAAAAAAAACGTATTTTTTTAATAATTAATTTTTGAAAAAAATAAAAGAATCATTCATTTTACAATTATAATTTTTTTTTTGTCAAAATTATAAATTAAGAATCAACAATATCGGTTATTGATTCGATTGGTTGTTGTTGTGATGGTGGTGGTGGTCGATAGCCATCCGAATCATGCATTTGATTATTAGCATTCATATCATATTCAGATGATAATATTATATCCAATAATGATTGTGGTATTAATGCAACTTGTTGTTCATTCATTTGTTGTAGATAATTAATCAATGATGGACGAATTTCTGGACTTGTTTGAAATACCGATTGTAATTGAATTGGTGGTAATTGTAATAGTACCGGAAAACTTTGTGGTAATGTTCGTTGACAACATTTTATAAAACCTTCCCATACTTTTTTCTGATTCCAAACTTGTTTCAATATTAAACGTTGAAGAATGTTATTCATAACAAAACTGATTAATCTTGGATAATGGCCTAATGTTTGTATAACGGTACGCATCAATAATGTTGGTAATGGATTTTGTTCACTTAACATTTGCATAACAATAGCAAGAACTTCGGCAGTGAACAATGATTTCTCTTCAAAACATAAATGTATGGCTATTTTGAAAAAAAAGAATAAGAAAAGGGTATATTCTTATGTGATTTATGATTTACCTTTTATGATTGTCTTCAAATCACATTTGGATGGATCAATATTGTGCAATGCAATCATGAGATCGGCAGGTGAAATTGGACTTTGATACGATGGATCTAATCAAAAAAGAAGAAAAAATTAATTTTTTAAATTGAGAAATAAACAGGAAATAATTGTACGAAAGACTAACCATGTGAAACGAGTATTCTATTGAACACTTCTTTTATGACATTTGGATTCAATTTTATTAGTTGTGGTAGGATTTCGATAATTTCACGTTTTGAAAATCCACTGAGTACTGGAATTAAGAAACGAACATCGGTAACACGTTTCTGTTTCTGATATAAATCCTTAACACAGGCAACCAATTTTGGACTTGGTTTTTGTTTATCCGTAAGTATATGTATCACACGTGAAACAATAATCTCTGCACCCTCAATAAAACCATTCTGAACAAATTTTATTATTTCCGTTGAATTCATATCGATATCTTGAATTGGTTCTTGAATTAATCGCAGAATAATACGTTTAATATGAGCATTTGTGGCTACATATACATTCGGTAATTCATGTATCAATTTTTGATTAAGAGGTAATAATTTTAGATAAACAGCTAATACAACTTTAATTGCCTCATCATTCCAGGGAATCGGTTCTTTTGAACCGAATACATTCGGACCATAAGTATCATTTTTCAATAGATTCAAACATTCTAATGCAAATGATTCGGCCGTTTCTTTTAGATTGAATTTAGAATTCTGATAAATTTCAATAATCATTGCCAATGATGATTGATGAATTTCAGGATTTTCTGTTTCAATACAAATCTGTAATAAACAATTGAGGAATTCTCGACGATAAGCAGGTCTTTTTTCAACTAATATTCTTAATATAGTTGATGATGATTCAAAATCTTCCGAATGAAGTACAAAATTCTTAAACATTTCAATAGCTCTTTCATCAAGCAATGGTGATTCTAAATAAAGTTTTTGTAGAAAAAAATCAATATCATTTTGTTCGCATGTATCCAGTACACTTTCGATTATCCAAGTTAGATAATCCGAATATGATTTCATTGATTTATGTAGTGATTTACAATTAATATATTCTAAATATAAAGCATTGAATAGTATATCATATCGAGAACGAATATCTTGAAAAATATATTCTTTAATCAATGATTTTAATGAATCAAAGGTAACGAAATTGGAGGACAATTTTCCAATTATTTTACGATAATTTTCATATTGTTTAGCAGAAAATTGAGCCGATTGATTTGATACCAATATCCGTCCAATACATTTTTCCATATGACGAATTTTTTCATTCAATTCTAATGGTTTAGTTATATCTTCCAATTTAAGTTGTTTAATTTTTACGGCCGATGTCATTTTTTTACCCGATTGTACAAGTTTAACTTTATTATGACTTTGTTGTTGATTTTTCATTTCACGACTTATCAATTTTTTAACCATACTCGTAATTTTTTTATTTGTTTCGTTATCAATTTTCATATGATATTGTGTTTCGAATAGATTCATATATTTAGCAATAACTTCATCGATTCCTGGTCCAATACCCATTCCGGTAAAATAAAATGCTATTTTCTTTGCTATAGTTGCCGGATCATTCAACGTGAATGAAAAATCTTTGAATAAATTAGTCATTTCGGGCGTCAAGTCATCAGGCAATAAATGTAATGATGTAAGAACTAAATCACAGATAATATTTGGATTATTTAGACGGCCAATTAGATCTTTGGCTGTTATATCAGCAGCTTTAATAGCATCATATCGAGAGAATTTCCGGGACAAATCATGAAGACTAGTATCCAAATTGAATTTTGGTTGTTCATTTTCCTGTGCTTGATTTCCATTATTATTTTCCATTTCTTCATCATCTTCATCGATTTCGATTTTGATTCGTTTCGGTTCATTCGCAATATTATTGTTGCTGGCCTCGATTTTGATACCACGTTTTTTACAATCCTGAATAGAACGATTTATTTCACTTTGTTTTACGCCAATATTCAACAATGTTTGCGTTATTTTTGATTGATATTTTGAGAATTGAATGTAAGGATGTTTGAACAACATTAACATTAAAAGTTTCAATTGTTTGTTTACAGAATTAACTTGCGACTTAGCTAATGTTGGAGGTAGATTCGTACTCAGTGCTTCAAACGATAAGACAACTTTGTCGAAAAACAAACGTGAACGTTGTCTTGCAATCAACGATAAACTTTGCATTGTGGCCATTAAATTTACGCTAGAAATATGAATTTTTGATTGAAAATTGATTAATTGTTCAAACAATTGTTTTGCTTCATCTTCCAATGCATCAATGTCGATTAGTTTTTTATCTACGTTGACGATTTGATCCAAGGAAAAATCTACTTCTTTGGAAAAGTTATCACGTCTGGTCTGACATACGATTACCATTTCTATAAATTTGACACACTGTGTACGAACACCATCGTTTTCGGTAAGATCGATCAGCGAGAAAACTTGATTTTTAATCTGATTCCAAACAACGCCAGTCGATTCAGCCTCTTCATTTACTTTGGCCGTAGCAATCCATGGTAAAAATATTTTATACAATTGAGTTAAAGCCTGAATTACACGTTTCAAAACATTGGGAACTTCATCGGCTAACATAAGGCTTAAATTGACAATAATTTTAGGGAAGAAATCTGGATCTTTTTTACAGGTCGCTTCGATAAAACCAGCAACAAATTTACGAACTTCAGAGAATTTATCATTTTGAAATCCAAGAATTTCATCAAGAAAATTATCCAAAATATCATTATGGATGACTAATTCTTGAGCCTGATTTAGGAATGATACTTTTTCACTTTCATTCGTCGAAGAGATAGCATTTTCGAGAAAATCAATAACTCGAGATTCGATACAATCGGTTTCTGAATTGGTTGACATTTTTGGATTTGAAAAAATATTTCAAAAATAAAAACGCGTGTAATGATTAATTTTGTTCGACCAGACGGCCTTTGACATGAAAAGATTGGAATCGGAAAATTTCTTGTCGAAACAAAAACAGTTCCCGAAAACTTTCCGGATCATTATGCAAAAAAAATCATTTGTAAATAATTTAATAAATTATTTGGAAATTTAGTGCAATGTTTTTAATTTAATCACCCAGAATCATTTTTAAATATAGCCATGATCGATAAGTCATTGATCATCTTTTTAGCAATATTTTTATTTGACTTTGGTAATTTTTTAATATTATTTTAACATAGTATTAATGATATTTAATGAATATAGCTCAAGCATCTTTCGGTGATCGATTACGATTGTTTCAATATTTTTTCATCGATTGTGTTCGAAATAATTGTTCGGAACCAAATTTATTGACACAATTTGAATCAAGACAACCGATATATTTAAAACTATTCGGATGGGATTGCCAATCCGAATGTCAATTACAAGCACAATGGCAAACAATTGATCGATTACAGAATGATGAGAATGTTCATTCTGTTCCACAATTTTATGGAAAAGTATGATTTCATGAAAATTTTGTTATATTTTTTTTAATTCTCCAAAATTTATAACAGTGGACATTTTATAGATTGTACGGAATCCAAGAACCGGCATCATTCATTTTTTCCATTGGTAATTTGGCAACAAATTTATACTGTTGGAAGGATTATCGAATTTTCGGTGAATATTCAAATGATCCATTTTATAATTTATGGAGAATACAAGCATTCATCTCGATGAACGCTTGGTTTTGGTCGATGGTATTCCATGCTCGTGAAACACCGTTAACTGAGGTTTAGTTTTTTTAAATTAGACTGTTTATTCAAAAGCTAAATTTGTTTTCTTTTCACTAGAAATTAGATTACTTTTCAGCCTACTTAATTGTGATTTATTTACTATATACGATAACTATTAAAATGATCACCGAAATGTTCGACCTAAAGGTCAAAAAAATTCAGATTTCCTTGGCTATACCTTTCATTGGTTTTTACATATTTCATTTAATTCGAATGTATCATCGATTCGATTATGGTTATAATATGAAAATCAATATTATGACTGGTATGTTGTTTTTTTTTGCAAAAAATTTTATTTTAGCTAATTTTGAAAATATAATCCACAGGTATCACAAGTACAATTTTATGGCTAGTCTGGTGTTTTATTAATCGCTTTCATCGTAAACACATTCGAAAATGTTTTCTTAGTTTAGCATTCGTCAACATCTGTTTGGTGTTGGAATTGTTTGATTTTGCACCGATATTCTACACATTTGATGCACATTCCATTTGGCATTTTGCTACAGCATTTTTTCCATTTTTCTGGTACAGGTAATCCTGATTGTTGTTTTTATTATCGAAAAAAAATGTATTTAATCATTAATTCTTGTTTTTTTTCCTCTGTAGTTTTCTCAAAGATGAGGCCATATTTTATCTAGTCCAAACATCCGATAAAGATGCAAAAGAAAAATTACTTTGATTTAGTTTTTATTTTTATTTGTTTTGGAATTTATTAACTGTTTTTCTCAAAAAAAAATTAAATTTTAGAATTTAAAAAATTTAAAGTGTGGAATTTCTGTTATCCTATCCTCTGTGTACAGTCCGTTCGTAAAGCGAGCGAGAAAAAGAATAAAAACGAGGAAAATATATGTCTTGCGAGGTTCCAATAATCGATGGCGAGTGTGCGATATCGCGACTCAAAATTTTACTATTTTTTATTTTGTTTGTGATTGATTGGTTTAAAAAAAATAATTTTAATGCGAATCGTCGACATTTTTGAATTCAATTCCATTTAGATTTAGTTTTTCTACGGTTTCGGTTTGTTTGGCAGTAAAAACAGAAAAAAACAACGATTAATCTGTGTTTGAATCGACCAATTGGATGGATAAATCATTTCATTCAGCGACATTGTTTTATCGAGAAAATTTTCAAACATTGATAATTCATCGTTTCGAATGAATCTATAATAATTGTGCAAATTGATTATTGATGAAAAATTCTACCATATCATATTCGATTACATCAAATGGCCTCAAACGATAAAGATGATGATGAACTTACGATACCGCGTGCGGCAATTAATAAATTAATCAAAGAAATCGTACCTGATATTCGTGTAGCCAACGATTCTAGAGAATTTATATTACAATGTTGTTCAGAATTCATTCATAAAATAACAACAGAAGCAAATTTAATATGTGAAAGTCAACAGAAAAAAACAATGTCAGCTGAACATGTTCTATCAGCACTTGATCGACTTGGTTTTTCTAATTATAAATCCGATGCCGAATCTGTTATGAATGATTGTAAAGGTAAACGACGACGACAATCAACACGTTTGGAACATTTAGGTATACCTGAAGAAGAATTACTTCGACAACAACAAGAATTATTTGCTAAAGCTCGTCAAGAACAAGCATTAATTGAACAACAAGAATGGTTACAAATGCAAAATGCCGCCCTTGCTCAGGATAGCTTAAATGTTACAAATGAAGATGAAGAATATGAATCCTAAATCAATTAATCGATTATCACCATTGAAATGACATTATGCTTATCATTAAAAAAAATATTACATTCAATCTGAATTTTTCTTTGTTGTTCAATTTTAAATAATTGTTTCTCACGTATCACACATTATAAACATTCATTATCTTCATTTTGAATTCTCTCGTTCATTTTTGTTTGTTTGTTTAACAAAACTAAAAACAATCTACATTTATTTGCGCTACATAAATTGTGTCTATACATATAAAATGGCTGACAATAGTTTTCCAATATCATCATCCGATGATAATCGAGCTCAAATAGTAAAACCTCCTGAACAACCACCACCACCACTACAATCAACCGATACGCCTGTATCTGATTCCGAATTAGAAACAAATCTTCAACAAATTCGTAATGATGATGACATTATATGGCGTGATTGGTTTTTTAATAAAATTGAAAAAATTCTTGACATTTCTAACGGAAATAATTCAGTTGGTCAACAACATAATCAGCCACAATCATCATCCCAACAGCAACCTACAATTAAAAATGTTACCGTTATATTCGGTCAAGCCGGTAGTGGCAAAACATTTCTTATGCAATTGCTCAGTCAAACAAAACGTTTTCAAAGTCGTGTTTTGATGTCATTTTTTTGTAAATTTACCTCATCAACACCAAATGATTTCATTCATTATTTTGATCAACAAATTCAGGAAACATTTAATGTTCAAAAATCATCATTATCATCATCATCATCTAAATCACCTAACAATACAAACACCATAACTAATTATAATGTTAATTTTCGTGAAAATTTACTTAAATTATTGAATAGTTTTGCAAAAGATATGACCATTGTAAATAAGTATCAATTACAATCGAAACGTTATCTATTATTAATCGATTCGATTGATTTACGTCCAGATATTTGTGATTTAGTTGCTAGCAATTTATATGCATTACCTAATTGGCTACATGTAATAATAACGGCAAGACCAAAACGTTATCGTGGAATAACGAAAATGTTTTCCGGTGCACGTAAAATTGTCATTGATGATATAAAAAAATCCAATGTCTATAACGATATAATGGGTTATCTTTGCAAACATCAAACAAAACTACAAACACCGACAACATCAAACGAATCATCACAATCATCATCAACATCAAAACATTTGTTGAATAAAATTGTTCATAAAAGTAATGGTTCGATTTTGTACGTCAAGATTTTGATTGATTGTATTGTACAAAAAATTTTCGATGTTCAACAATTAGATTTTGTTGGTGCCACATTGAATGGTCTTTATTTGGCTCTATTCACTAATATGTTTAATAATAATTCCAAATGGGAAAATGAATTCAAAACAATATTCTCATCGATAGAACGAATTAATTCATTCAAAGTATCGATTGCTGATCTCATCATCAAACTTCAATGTACAGAAGATACATTGAGACAGATATTAGATGTTTTGGCTGCACATCATTTGATTTTATTTGCCGATAATAATGAATCAATCAAATTAATACATGGCAGTCTATTTGAATGGTTAAGCGATATCAAACATTGTACAGCACGATTCATTTGTCGATCATATTTTCCCGATGCCGAACAATCACATTTATTTATGATGAATCTTAGCGAACAAGTGGCAAAAAATCGACAGATAGCATTGGCTATTAGTAATAAATACATTCAAGATAATGATGATTCAATAAATGATATTTCAGATGATATGTTATATGAAAGAGATCGTTCGGATTCACAAATGGGAACAACCAGTGGACAAGCACAAGTATCGTCAAATTCAAATAATAAATTATTTGAACTTCAAACACCAGGCATTTATGCCGAAACTGATTACAGTCATATTGAAAAATTTAATAATAATGATAAAAATTTACCAAAAACTAGTTCATTCGAACAAGATCATAGTAATGATAAAAAATATCATGGAAAATTATCGACAAAATTCGATTCAACATTAGTTCCAAATGATCATCATCATAGTAGTTCGTTTATTAATTCAACAAACCAGTTGGAAAGTACTACATCAAATTCATTGAAAGATTGTAAAACTAAACAATGTTTACCGATGGCAATCGATGATGATTGTCTTGTTGACAGTGATGGTGATGAACAACAAAATCCTCTTGTCGATGATCAAGATTTAAGTAAAACAGAAATATCCAAAGAATATCTAAACAAATTATATCAAAAATTTGAACAAGCAATGCATCTATGTGATCTAAAAGCATTGCGTAGCATTCTAAGCCGTTATGGAAATGTCATAATCAATCAAAATTTCATCAATGGTAAAACGCCAATGTATTGGGCGATTAAAAAAGGCAACATGAAATTGGTCGAATTGTTTCTTGAATTTAATGCCGATGTTAATGCTGTTTGTGATCCACAATGGGGATATTCATCATTGATTTTGGCATTAATGCAACATTCGTTTGACATGTGTGAGTTATTATTGGAAAATGATGCTGATGTCGAACTATTGGATCGATATTCAATGCCACCAATTTTACATGCCATTTTAGTCAATTGTTCACCAGAAATTATCAAATTACTTATGTATTGGGGATCGCATACGGATTTTATTGACGAAACTGGTCGATCATTATTGCATTTTGCTGCTAATGAACCGAAAACCTGGGGACAGACAATAAGTTTATTGCTTACTGTTGGTTGTGATGAAATGCATCGAGACAATAATGGTCAAACTGCATTACATATGGCCGCTGCTAATGGTTCGCTTGAAACTGTTGAAGTTCTTGTGGAATTTGGTGGCGATAAATTGATTCATACACAAGATAAATCCGGAAAACTCGCATTACATGAGGCTGTTGCTAAGAATAATTTCGAAGTATGCGAACCATTGATTACACCAAAATCGATAAATCTTATAGCTCATAGTGGTAATTCACCGTTAAGAATTGCAATTTTATCCTATTACCTTGATTTGGCTCAATTATTGATCCTTAAAGGTGCCGATGTGAATTATAAAGATGCTGATGGACGATCAATAATTTATTGTGTCGTTGCATTCACACACAGCACCTTGGAACAAAAAGGACCACCGTTTTTCAATCTTGCCGCATTGTACAAAAATGGACCAGAAGAATATCTAGAAACGGCAGTTAAAACGATTGAATTTTTAGTTCGATTTGGTGTTGATTTAGAAATCAAAGATCTTGAAGGACGAACCGCTTTGCATGTTGCAGCCTGGCAAGGTACATATACGTTAGTTGATTGTTTAATAAAACTTGGTACGAATATTGACGCCATCGATGCTGAAGGTAGAACGCCTCTACATATGTGTGCTTGGAATGGTCATATTGAAGTGGTTCGATTATTGATTGAATCCGGCGCTATAGTCAATCCAATATCATCGACTCAAGGTGCATCGCCATTACTTGTGGCCGCACAACAAGGTCATTATGAAACCTGTGTATATCTATTGCAAGCTGGTTGCGATATTTCACATCGAGATTTTTATGGCCGAAATGCTAAAGATGTTGCATTAAATTGTGGTCATAAAGAAATTGTACAATTAATCGATTCGTTTGTGGCTACAACAATCAGCGGTGTTGGCAGTTTGGAACAAAATCAATCCAATAATGATCTACCTTTGATTGGATCATTGAATCATTCAAATGATCATGATTCAATGGCCATAAAATATTCTAAATATGATGCACGATTCTATCAATCGATCAGTAATAATAATAATAATAATAATAATAATCAAACTTTAGATAATAATAATGGTATAATGGGTTTAGCAATAAATAATACAAATAGTGTGCCAAACAACAATATTAGTAATAATAATAGAAAAGGAGGAATAATTGTTGGATCAAGAAAAGGTAAAAAAACCAGATCGATTAGTAAATTGACCAAAATGTTACATTAATCCATTCTTTTTTTTCATTCATTTATTCATTGATATATTCATATGCATTTTTGTATTTGATTACACTAATTTGATTTCTTTTTCTTTTCTTTTTTTTCAATCAACATCATCACATTTTAATGTTCAAATTCATATTCATATTGTTTGTTTTTTTTATACAACAATCATATACACACATATGCACATCATATATAATCTTATAAATACTTTTCTTTGAATAAATTTTGAATTGAATTAAAAAAAAATCATTAATTAATTTCGAAAATTTTTTTTCACCTTTTTTTAAAAGGATGTTTTTTTTATGGTTGGTTAAAATTGAATAAAATTTTTGATTGATAAACAAGTTTAGTTCAGTGACCATAATAATCATTTACCGTTAGAAGTGTACAGGTCACGATTTATTCAATGAATCCCAAAAAAAAATAAGAATAAACAAAAACAACTTCGATACGAAACCGGTTCATCCGGATTATTCATTCGGAATCTAATGATCATCATTGTGTGGTTGATATTTACCGATCAAATTTTATTTAGCTAATGAATGTGAATTGACCTCAGTTTGAATTGATCGTGTTTATGATTGCCAGCCATCGTCATCAATAAGAAAAAAAAATTGAACTTTGTGTCCACTTTCACGAAATACACACACACACATATAAAACAAACAAACATACAAAGAAAAACAAGATGAAATTTTTTTCGATTTTTTGTTTATTTTTATTTATTTTGAATAATTCATTCATTGTAAATCATGCCAATCCAATTGGAACGTCCGAATTCAGTGATAACGATGATGATGAAAAATTACATTCAATAGATCCAATCGAAACAACAGCAAAATTATTGATCCGTGTCGATGAAATGGTTGAAAAATTATTAGCCGCAAATAATAATAATGATGAATCAATTTCCGGTGAACATTATTATATATCGGATGATCATGTTGAAACACCATCATCAATTGTAATTGATGAAGATAAACAACAAGTTGATGATACAAAAAATCAAGACCAACAAGAAGAACGGTTTTCCGTTTTGTTAACCGATTTGAAAAAGATTGACGAAATGATCGGTATTGCCATTGCTAAAGCTAATTTAAATCGTCAATATCGATTGGTAATGCGATTACGTCCATTACAATCATATGTTCAACAAATTTATCGAAATCTTGAATCACTTCGTGCACGTGTTGTAGCTATTGCTACATTATCCAATTTAGCCATTACTGTTAATGATGTTCTGGTACAATTCGGTGATGTAATGACCAGTTCACAGATTATGTCATCCGGTATAATATCGAAAAATCCACCACCAAAAATTCTTCCAGGTATTTCGAATTTTAGTAATGATATTGTTCCAATGGTAACAAATGAATCGGCAAAAGATGAAGTTGAAAATAGAAATATTTCCGAATCATCATCATCATTATCACCATCAACAATGACGACTGCAATTGCAACAACAAATAACGATAATCTTACCACACTTTCAAATATCGAAGTAGATGCTGAACTTTTTTTCCAAAATATTCTTCTAGATCATAAGAAATGAAAATGAAAATGATAATCAATCAATCGTTTTTTTTCAAATAAACAATTCATTTATTTATTTATCTATATTTGAATATATTGTAAAGGATCATAATAATAATAATAATAATAATAATAAAAGTAAAATGGAAATTCAAACAAGAAAACAATACCTTTTTTGTTGCTTTGTTTATCTCTTTTTTTTCAATCAATAGTTTTCCCTTTTGCCAATGTTGAACAATAAGTAATCGAACAACATCTTACGAGACAGTATTAGAATAATTATTTTTTTCAAAAAAAAACCATCAATAATAATAATAATGGTAATTTTTTTTTAACATTTCGATAAAAAATGGATCTAATACATGTCTGGTAAGATGCCAACCGTTACTCAAATCAATAACTTTTTTCTTTGTTCTGGTTTCCTCAATTTGATCGATTAAATGGTGTTGATCAGATTATTAATGTGAAGCAGGTGTGTGTTTTGTGAGTGTGTGTGGGTTGAAATGATCATATTGATCATCATTTTTTTGGTTTTGTTTTTTTTTATATTTGCACGTCATTCTTCAATCGTTGTTTGTTTGTCGCTAAGGAAAAAAACGAAATAAAAAATCAAAATTAGGTTTGTTTTTTATTGGATAATTTTTTGATACTTACTTTTTGAATATAAGTAATATTTCTTTATCGTAAAATAGTCGCACACATTATACACAAATATCGTTTCGCTGATCAATGAATAATCTTCAATTTTCAATAATCATTATCGATGGCATTCTCAATAAAAAAAACAAAAAAATAACTGTAATAATAATAATAACTGTAATACGAGAACAAAAACAACAGATAATTTAACACTGAAATAAAGCTCGTGATACATGAGATAAATTGAATTAATTTTTTTCAACAAAAATAAGTTTCTTTTGGACTCATCAAAGTAGTTTACGAAAACAACAGCAACAAACAACTTTTCTTCTACGTCTTCGTTTTTTTTTTGATCATCAATTCATTCCAAAAAAGTCTGATGTATATGTTGTTGATTTCTTCATTGAACAACAACAACAACATTATCAATCCTCAAAAATAGCAAAAGAAATGCTTGAAGCTTTGAAGAAGAAGAAAAAAAAATCGAAACCAAAGTCTTCATTCATTGATTCATTCATTCAAGTTGTAGCCGTTGATATTTTGTTTTCAAATCGAAATGCGGCGACACACTTGTTGCTTTTTTTTTGTTTTGGATGTTGCTTTTCCTGTTACCACTGCTAGATTTTTACAATGTCATCGACGTTTTTATTTTTTTAGTTCATTCGTGGTTCGATCATCATAATCATCATCATTCGGGTTATTGCTGTCTGTTATTTTTTTGATTCGCCGAATCGGTGGTATATTTTTTTCTGCTGCTGTTGTTGTTGTTTTTTTCAATCATACATGGCACATTTTATAAATGTGAATGATGTGTATGTGTGTTTAAAAAAGCATAGAGAGAAAATTTCAAACAACAAAAAAACTAAACAACTAACATATATAGCGAGATAGAGAAAGAAAGATCATCATCATCATATATCAATTGAACCGAAACACAAAAAAATCATTGAATGATTTTGTTATTGGAATTTCGTTCAAAAACAAAACAAAACAGAAAAAAAGCTGAATAAATGTATTTTAGATTTGGAAGATTTTTTGAAAAAAATAAAAATAATGAACAATCAATGATGGGCGTGAAGCTTTTCTTCGATATGATACATGATATTATCACCTAATAATATAACCGAACAACAACAAGATTTATCTTTATTTTTTTTTCTGAATGATTTTTTGTTTTTGTTTTTCTCGTAAACAAAATGATATCCAATCGAAGGATGATAGGATGATATTTTTTTTTGTTGTTGTATTTGATCAATTGATTCGGTTAAACATTCGAAATGATAATGATATGTAGATATTCAGCGGAAAATTTCCAGAAAAACAAAAATTATAAAACATATCATATTTACACATTTATAAATGATATTAGTTTTTTGTTTTGTAGATATCGAAATATACACTATCAACAAAAAAAAGAAAGAATATCATATACAGAAAGATTTATTTGATGATGATATTATAAACTTATCAAACAACATTCAAATAACTAAAACTTTTCGATGAATAACAATCAAATCAAATAGAAAAAAAAACTAACACAAACATCATCAACATCAATGGTAACAACAACAACAACAAGCATGCCGATATCATCATCACCATGGCCAAAAAAAATTATCTTTAAAAATATTTATTTAAATATATATAAAAAAAACTATAAATGGCGACATTTTCTAAAACAGAAAAACATACCACCATTTTTTTATTTAGCTGATGATGATAATGATGACATGCAAAGAGACAAAAAGTAGGAGTGTGAAGGATATATATATTTTTTCGATGTTAGGGAGAGAATTATTTTTTGATCATCATCCACAGAGTGTTAGAGAGAGAGTTTAGTTAGTTTGGCAAAATAACTACAGGAAAGCTATGTTTTTCTGTTTCTGTTTGTTGAAAAGTTAAATTATCTATTTTTACAATTGAATGTAATGGCGAAAAAAAATATATTGAAAAAGAGATAAGGATACAAAACGAATTGAATGAAATGAAATCCGTAATTTTCCATTATCCGCCCCTTTATTCAGCATATCGATAGAACTGAAAACAAAACAAAAAAAAAATTTCCTCACTCTCTCTCTTGGTTGTTTTTTCTCTTAACTTTCAATTTTAAAAAAAACAGGAAAACAAACGAGGAAAATATTTTTAAAAAATGATAATTTTTTCTGTTTCGGACATAAATTATCATTGAATAATGCGAAAAAACAAAATTCCGGTATTCATTTCAATCAACTTATTGATTGAATCGGTTTATGATCGATGCTTTTTCTTGGCTATCGATTTTCAAATTTTTTTTTTCGATCCAATTACCTTATTGTTATTTGGAAAATGAACAAACGCAGAATGCATACATAATTATAGAAATATTGCAACCGAATAAAAATAAACAATTTTCGAAGGAAGAAAAACAACAACAATCAGATCAAATCCTATATAAACAGATTTCAAACAAACTAAAAAAATGGAAAAAATTTTTCTAAGAAATATATAAAAAAAAGGATTGTTACAACAACAACATAAAAAATGACGAACCATTTTTCAAAATGATGACGATGATGTTGATGATGATAATGATGAATTGTATGTTTTGTGTGATTGAGGATGAGGAAGAATAGAATAAATTCTTTAGAAAATTTTTAACAAAAAAAAAACGATGATGTTGAGGATGACGAATACACCAAACCAACCAACCAACCATCCATTCATCTATACTGCAGGATTTTATTTTAGAAAATTCATTTTTGGCTAAAATTCTATAAGCAGTTGATGAATGACAAAGATATTTTGGTTGACAAACCATACATACATACATACAAACACACAGACACACACGTACACACCTACATTGCATCTAAACACAAGTCAAACGAAACAGAATATGAAACAAAAAAAAAACGCAATGACATCGACGAAAATGTCGACCGTTATTTATATACACATCAAACAAACAACGATGGTAACGACGACGATAATGATGATGATAAAGTCTCGAGGTCTACTGCCATCATCATCATAAGGATGATTCGATATTTTTTCTTTCTCTCTCTCCCATTTCTATCCATTGATAACAGAAAATCAGAAAAAAATCCAACAACGTTGTTTTTGTCATTGTCGTCGTCGTTGTTGTTGTTGATGATGATAATAAAATATTGTAGAAAAGATTTCTATGTGATGTATTTGATGTATGTGAAAGAAATCTTTTCATTCTAGATTGGATTTAATAATTTTTTTTCTTCTTCTTTTTGTTTGGTTTTTCTTCCATCATAGTTGATTTGATCATCATCATCATCGTCGTAATCATACCAACAACAACAACAACAACAAAAACTATATCACACACTAAACAGCCATAGAAAAAAAAATGGCAATAAGATAAATTCAGATCATCATCATCATCATTCATAGTAATGCTAAATCAGCCATTCTGTTGTCGTTGTTGTTGGAAGAAATTGTCAAAAAACAAAATATAAGATGAGTTTACCATTTTTCGATGTTCTCGATCTTCATCGGATGGGTGTGTTTGTGTGTGTGTTTGAAGGCGCCTTGTAGTAGTTATTAAAGCCAGAAAAAAATCAATTAAAAGCGATAATGGTGGTGAACAACGAAACACTTTTCCTGAAAAAAATAAATTTGCAATAAGACTATAGGGTGTTGTTCGAATCGTACGATCAAACAGTGTACATATAATTTACAAATAAAAATTTAGATTGATAAATTGTACAGATTGATGATAATGATGATGATGATAAAAAAAATTAACCATTTGATTTTTGGTGATAATGGTTAAGAGGTTTGAGGAATACAAATCAAACACACAGTTACTTTTATAGTTGTATATCAGACCAGACTCTCTGTATCATCATCATCATCATCATCATCATCATTACAAACGAATCATAAAAATCATTGATTTTTGGTTTTCTACTGTAAACTCACACTTGTACCACACCATGGTGATGATTATTGCAATGATCATCATCATCACATCAAAAAAAAAATGACGATAATGATAATTATTTTTCGAACGAAAACAAACATAGAAAAAAAAACTATTAATATTACAATCCTTTTGGATTATTACTATGATGATGATCAATTCAAAGAATAATTGATTATAGATTTATAAGATAATTTAATTGGTCATTGAAAATATTATTTATAATTAATAATTGATTTAGATTTAATGATGATGTCTATAATAATTCAATAATTATGATGTGTTATTAATAACACATCAATCAAGACATCATTATGATTGATTGAAAATGGATTTTTTAATTTATAAAAACACATCTGAATCTGGCTAATGTTTATTTAAAAAAATAAATAAATTTATTTACGCAAAAACTTCGCGAAAGTTTTTGTTTTCACATCATTCAATAAACATCATTGAATCGGGTCCAAAGGACGAGATAAAATTATATTTTTTTTATCAAAACAAAATTTGGAAAAAAAAACATCTTATCAATTAGGCAAGCAAGCAAAACAACGACTGGCTATCACTTTTTTTCTTTCTCTGTCTCTCTCGCTTCACTTGTTGATCATCGATTCGGCCAAAAAAAACAGAAAACAAATCTAATCTTTGTCTTCAGAAAAAAAACAACAAATTCATGGAAAAATGCAATAAATTTCAAGCTAAATTCAGAATAAAATTGCACGATTGAATTGAATTGATTTGATTTTTTTTCGTTCACATTCAAGCATATCATGGGTGCGAATGTCACATGCATTGTGAGTCATATTGATATTTTTGAATTCGAATCTTTATTATTATCTTGTCATACCATCATCATTATCTCTAGACATTTTTGATTGTTTTGGTGTCATTTTTTTTATTGTTGATTTGATGCGTGTGCGAATTCGATCTCTTTTTTTTTGTTTGGTAGGATGTGGAAACATTCGAAGAAAAAGGCGAGAAAAAAACAAATTCGATACACTGTCATTGATTAAACAGAAGAAAATCTATTAGATGCAAATATGTCACAAGATAATTGAATAATGATGATGATGTTTCAGTCAGTTTCGGGATGCTCAATCAAATTCGAATCGAGAACAGAGAAAACAAAAATTTACAAAAACCAAATGATAAATAAATTAAAAAGACCAGAATTTTTTTTTACTGCTGTTTTATCATTCGAAAAGACTCAGATATAGAGAAATGTAAAAAAACTTCACACATCTGGCCAACATTACATTATCATCATCATCATCAAAAAAATGATGACTGATTTTTTTTGTGTTTCTCCTCAAATTTCTTTTGAAATCATATTTAGTTTCGAAAAAAATAAGTCAATAATAATTTGAGATTTATAAATAAAAAAAAATTTCAAATCCGAATTTAGAAATTTTCACTTGTTCAAAAAATAAAAATTAAATTTTCACATACACACTGGACAACTGGATTCAAGCAAACAACAACAACAACAAAAAATTTCTAGCATCCATTAAACTTGTGGATTTCCTGATTTCCCGAAAAAAAACAAACTTACCACCATCACCATCACCATTATCGTCATTATCATCTTGATGAATGTTGAAAAAAAGAGGTTTTTTTTCACTGTTGAAATTAGTTCATATAAATGGATTCGACACTGTTTGAATGAATTTTTTTTTGTCGACAAAAAAAAGTTCATCATTAACATCATTATGTTTGTTTGCCTCAAAAAAAAAGAGAAATCAAATGGTGCGAAATTTCCAACAGAAAAAACTTACATTCGGAAATTGTAGGAAAATTCATCATCGGTTTATTTTTTTTTCTGAAAAGCAAAGCAAAGAAAAAAAATCAATCATAATAATCAATTCAATATAGATTCAAATTCATTGAATGACAAATTAAAGGACATATTTAGGACGAACAACAACAACAACAACAACAACAAAATACATACGATATTATCAATGGTGGGGGAAAAATTATACCAGACATCATAAAAACCGTTCTTACCATGATCAAATCATTGATGATGATGATCAACAACAAATTCGAATTAATAAATTATCATCGAAAATATGATTCGAATTGAATTTTTTCTTTATCATCGTTTTGTTTCGTTATTTCGTTCACGTTCGTGAAAAAAGAAAAAAGAAAAGAAAATCATTATTTCATTTTTTTGGGTAAATTGTTTATGAATCTTACGATCGATCGATATCAAGTGAGGAGATTAGATTTTTTTTCGTTTTGTTTAAAAAAAAACATGCCAAAATGTACCAAAATCATCAATCGAATCATCAAGTCAAATGAATTTTGTTTGTATACGTACACGACAATAGATAAATGATAAATGTCCTGACCTTTTTTTTCGTTATTTTTTCATTGGAAAGTAATTTCTAAAAAAAAACGAAAAAATTTTCGGTCATGTAATGATAGAATTGTCACATGTACGGAAATGATTATTGATTCCCGTTTTTTCAATTGAACACAGTCGACATCTAGTGTTTACTTTTCATTTATTAATATTTTAAAAAAAAATAAGTTATTCAAATTGTAAAATGAAATGATTAAAACAAAAGTTACAATAAATTATAATTTTTTTTTTAAATAATAAACGACATCTATCGTTGTCGATTGATAATTGAGTTATTCAATTTTAATTTTTTTCAAAAATTCAATCTCATTGAACATATTTCGGTTGAATAATCCAGATTATTACATTGATTCAATTGAGCAATTTTTGAATGATTATTAAAATAACGAAATGAATCTTTACCACAACGAATTAATACATAGATTGAAACACATTGTTTGAATTCAGAAATGGCACTAAACAGAAAAAAAATCAAAGCAAAATTGTTGTTAATAATAATTATCAAAAATTATCGTTCGAATTGCTTACCAACAAATCGTTTCACTTTCTCGTTGCCAATCCAATTGCACACCGTTTACATCTTCTTCATGCCATAATTGACGAATACGACGATCAAAACGTCGTTCACAAGGTTTATCAAATTTTTTCACCACCCAATTACAATAAGGATCAAGAAGACTGCCAAAATCTGTACGTAAATTGAATGCAAATCGTTTTGCACGATCCCAATAATCATTATAGATGTTTTCTTGCATACCGATTATATGTTTTTTACGTATCCATTGATGTTTTAGTTCGTAGCAAATTTTTGGCAAATGTTTTTGTTGTGATAGATTCCATTTAATTGTGCCCAGAATTATCTGTACAGTAGCTTCTTTTTCATCCAATGAACATTCACTATCCTCTTCATAAAGATATTTTTTCAAACAACGTTCAAAATGATAAACAGATTCACATTGATTGCCAGTTTGTATTTCATCATGACCAAATTGAAAATCCTGACCCATATTTGTTGTCCAACATATTGATATAACTTGTGTAGGTATACATGGACCACGAGAATTACTAATCAAATGACTCATACCATTTTGATCGATCCATACATTTTCTTTTACATTTTCATCGTTCGATGGTCCAAGCCAATCAATTTCTTTTTGTTTACATGAAACAATTGTTTCATTATTCTGTGTAATAACATATTTCAATATACTAAATGATGACCATGTCATTCTTTTTTCACATTTATCAGCAAAATTAATTAAACATGTAAATTCTTTATCCAATGATCGACATACATTCAAAACATCGATTTGTGATGAAACTTCTTCCTCTTCGGTACGATTTACAGTGAAAACAACAAAACGACCTTCAATAATTTCAATTTTCCGTAATAAACTTGATTCACAATCGGTTAATAAATGTAGATCACAATCAAATTCTTCTTCAAATTGAATGCCGGTAGTAAAATTATATGCACGAAATGTAAAATCAATATTGCTGGCACCTTTTCGTAATAAACGTTGATAATAATCATTTAAACGATCCATATTACGTTGACGATTTTGTCGCATCAACATTAATCCATTACGAAAATTATCATATTCTTCTTTATCTATTTTTTCATTCACTAATGATGGTTTAAAATGATTACGAAATGTTGAAATTTTTTGTTCTTGATTATTAACTGGATTATCAATCGATACATTATTCGCATGGATCGATATGATAGCTGTCAAAATGATTAATAAAATGCTGAAAATTTTGAATGAAATCGTCATGATTCTATTTATAAAACAAAGAATAAAGATGAAATTGAAATAACAACCAATTTGGATTTATCGCTTGCTTTAATATATGAAAACCCATAGAAAAAAACAATGATGACCAATGTTTAATTTTTTTTTTGTTTTTTGTTGATCAATTTCGACATTGACTTTTGAATATTCAATATCATCATCATCATCATCATTGCAACGCATGTTGATCACATATTTGGATATAAAAAAATGATCAAAACATTGTCATTTTTATTTTACAAAAAAACAAACCAGAAAAAAAGTTACAAATAAATAATGGATCCAAATAAAGTGAAACAAACTTAGGAAAACAAAACATTTTGTTTTTATGCACTTGAAATCAAAAAAGAAAAAAGAATCGTTCATTTATATACAAAGAAACAAAAAATTGATGACAAAAACAACCTAACAAATACTAAATTATCATATCGTTATTTACAATATTTTGAGAAGGAAAACAAACATAAACCCGAAAGATTTGATTTGAAATTGATTTGTTTTTTTTGAGAATAGTTACCGAAATGTTACTGAAAATAGAAATCAAATCCAAAGAGAAAATATTGACGTGTTAATATTTTTCATTATAATTTACAATGAAACATCATCATTAGTAGAGAAAAAAAAATTACAAATGATCGATTAATGATGATGCTTTGTCTGTCTGTGTGTAAAATGAAAATTCGTTATCATTTATTCCTATAGATGAAAATTAGTTGTTTTTTTTTTGGCAGGTAATTTCTGATCAAATGTAATGATGATGATGATAATGTCAAAAAATAATTTGTATTCCATTTCGAAAATTGATCAAGTGAAAGGATGAAAGGCTGATGCATGTGTGTGTGTATGTATCTCGGTAGGTTTTGGCTGCAAAATATTCAATTAATCATGAAATTAAGAAAAATAGACATTTTTTTTATAGAAAATTTTTTTAAAAAAATAAGTTGTAGGCATGATGTTGAGATTTTTTTCAAAACATTTTATGCAGATGAAGATTGCGGCTTAATACGGATCGTACATCGCTCGTAAAACGTAATGCATCCAATACAGGTAATAGATTTAATAATGCAGTATCGGTAGGATCACAAAACCATGATTTAATAGGTATAGCATTGTCTATTGATTCGAAAAAATTAAAAGATAATTTTGAAAAGAAAAATTAAAATTCTAACCTGGATAAGAACGATATGCACCCGGACTATTGTCCAGAATAAAAACACTTGATAGATCACCAACAATTGTGGACAAATCTTTCGTATAGCTACCAAAATCTAATGTACAATGTTGACGAAAAAAACGTCTCCGTAATATACCACGATTATTATCCAATTTATCTGCAACGGCTTGTCCATATATTTCCATACTGGCGGTAAATACGACCAAATCATACCAATTGCTCACCTGCACAATGATGATTAAAAAATAATATCCATCATAATAAGCCTTTTCTTACCACATCAAGAAAATAATCAACATGTGGCCTTTTATGTACATAAAATCTGACTGGATTACGATCAATTGTAACACGAAGTATAAAATCGGGCGGTGTACCCGGTTTCACAGTTTGTCTGGCTATACCATCATGTTGTGAATGTATCAAAGTTTCATCAAGATCAAGAACCAATGTTTTCCGTTTGACAAGATCTTTGAAAACAAAAAAGATAAAGACAACATATATCACATGGTTATATAATGAATATAAAACTTACTTAAACGATGTGCTGATAATGGCGATAATGGTAAGATGTCATATTTAACTGTTTGATGTTGTTTCAGCTGATGATAAAAACAATGTCCATGGTAACAATTATAAATAAATAAATGAATATTTTAATGATAATAAAAATCTAATAAATGATCAAATTAAATAACTTACCGCTCGAGTTTGTTTTTTTATTGAATAACAAATACATGACCAAACACGTGCAGTGAATAACAAAAATGCTTTCAAACCCATTTGAATTTGTTTAAACATTTGCGAAAATAATCTTCGTTTGATCAATATAGATCACATTAATCGAAATAAATTTAACACAAAATTTGCAACAAAAAAAACGAAACAAAGAGAATAAAAGAAATATGAGTCGTCTAAGACTTTTTTTTCCAAGATTTAAAAATTTGAAATGAAAATTCAGAAGATAATTGAATGAATTGTAATTATCACAATGATTATTATGTATGATGATTCGATAACAACAATAAATATTTGATCGAATCAGAAAATGATGATGTGTTAATGTTATCGATTATAAATGTGTGTATACACAAAACAAAATAAACAAATTGATTCAAATGACAACAAATTATCTTGAAAGAATATGGAACAAAGAATGTTGAGAATAAAGTGAAAAAAGAAGAAGAAATTATGGCTGTTATGGTGATGATAGATTTGCATAACCCTGTTACTTTGGTTATGTTTTTTTCAGTCTTTGATTGTGTGGTTATATTATTATAATTTCAATGATGATGATGATGATGATAATGATGGATGTTCATACATGTGAGAGAAATATCAAATATACAAATATTTTTGTACTTTTTTTTTAATTTTATTAATAAAAAAAAAGTACAAAACTAATAACGATGGTTATTATCTTGAATTGTAGGTGGTGGTGGTGGTAATTTTATAGGCGCCAATATTACAATCACCTCATTCTAAAAGATTATTATTTTTATTATTTCTATCTTGATTCTCTCACAGTATTTTGGTATATATGAGTGTGTGTATGTGTTGGATATATAATGGATTACACATTGAATAATGTTGGCGGCTCCCAATCATCAACAATATAACCGACAACCAAACCAAAAAAAAAAAAAATATATCACAGTATACGTTGTTCTTTGTTTGCATGCAGACATTCAAGATAATAAAAAAAAGGATAAATAAACTGAGAATCGTTGTTGCTTGCGCAGATTTTTACCATGTTCATACACACACACACACACAAACAAACAATTTCTGCATATATCAAATGTAAAATTGTTGTTGTTGTTGTTTTTTTTAATTGGTAATTGAAAAAAAAACAAAACGATTCTTTTGACCAGAGAAAAAATCGGATTTTTTTTTCATTTACAAAATGAAAATTCTATTTTTTCTCCCGATGAAATATCACGAGAAAACAAAAAAACGTTTCGAACGTTATAAATGAATGTTGCTTCAATGTTTTTTGATCGGCATCCAATAGATGGCAGTAATAGAATTAGAAAAATTATAATGAATGGCGCCAATTTTGTTTTGTTGTTGTTTTACATTCGAACACATAATTTATATCCGTCATTATAAATCGGATATGTTTTTGTTAGATGTGTATAGATTTTCCTTTATTAAGTTTATAACTTTGGAATTTTATTTTATTTTATCATTCTAATAAAGTGTTTGTTTGTTTGTTTTTTATGATGATTGATGATGATGATGATGATGGAAATCAGGATCAAGATGATAATCTATTTACACAACATTTTCGAATAGCTAAAAATCTGAAAGATGTATAATTATAATCATTTACCTATCTCCTCTCTCCAAAAAAAATTGATTATCGTTTATTGATCTTGCATGATAAGATTCAAATTTTTTTTTTCCAATGCAAACAATATCCAAGAAAGAATCCGAAAAAAATACATTATTCGATTTGACAATAACATAAAATAAAAATGAAATTTCCTATAGGAATCCAAATAGAGTTCAAACTGTCAATACATTTTTACAAGAATTTATTGAATAAATTCTAAATGAAAAAAAAACTAACTAAAATATTCAATCCAAAGAAGATGGCTGCCCCTTGGTTAACAAAAAAAAAAAGATGAAAGAAATGAAGAGAGCAACGAACGAAACGTTGAATGATATTTATTATCATTGTAATGGTCACAATGTTATGATTAACATTCTATATCGATCGTTTTTGATCTAACAAAATGGATATTTCCTTCCCCCTCTCGTACAAATCAATTCTTTGACGTTTGATCAAATTGAATACCACTACTAATAAACGTAATAATTGTTGAAACGAAATAGATTCTATTGATTGTGACCAACAATTGAAGCAATAACAATACGTTAACGTTTACGATTTTATATATATCGAACAAAGACAAATCGACTACGCCTTCCAATATATTCGATATTATAACAAATAACAGCAGATATATCTTTGGAAAAAAAAATCATGATCGGTTTGGATCTTGCCTCTAACACTCTACCACTACCAATTACTATCGAATTGATAGAATTCTCAGAGAGTAGTAGCATTCATAGATGTACATAAGATATATAGTGTTCCAGCAGGTATCAATGAAAGAAGAAGAAGAAGAAATATTTAAGTTCGAATTCGCATATACATTCTTCACCAACAAAACCAGAGAAAAAAATAATCCAATTGTATATCCGAAAATTTCAACCAGCCGATCTTCCTCTCCCTCTTTTTCTCTCTTTGTTCATTGTGTGTTCAACAACAACAACAACAACAATCAAATTCGGTTCGTGCTCGAATTTATGAACGAAACAAGAAGGGAAAAGAAAGAAAGAACAAAAATCGGAATCGTGTAAATTTGTATGTTTTTGTGTGTGTGTGCGTGTGCATATGTATTTCCATCATCCTCAATTATCATTATCATCATGTTCCACAAATTTTTCATCCTCCTCAATTTTGTTTTTTTTTCAAAATTATGAGCAAAGAGAGTATGAGAGAAAGAGCTCAAGCCGAACCGATTTGTTAGAGTTGATAAAAGTTTGAGTTTGTCGAGTATCTTTGAATCTAATACGCGTATATTATTTATTTTATGTATTTGTGTGTTTGTAAAAGTGAGCTTTCTATTGAGTTCTTTCTTCTATCTTCTTCTTTTGAAAGTATACTATCCTCTCCCTCTTTTTTTTTCCAATATCTGTTGTTGTTTCAGAGTACTAATATTGATGCTGCTATTTGGTGTTGATGATGATGTTTTCTCTTGGGTGCCAGATTGATCTCTATTCATCCATTATTATTATATCCCATATATCCATTTAGCTAGCTTGCTAGCATAATTCAATGTATTATGAATACAAAATACAACAACAACAATTATTATTCAAGAATCTTGGAATCCAAATATTGAAGGGGGAGAAGAAAGAAAACCAAGATAACATGGTGAATGTGAATTAATTTCCTATTATATATTAGTGTTTTGCTTTTATTATTTAAAAAAAAATGTTTAAGAAAAAAACAAACAAACATAACCAACTTTATCATCATCATCATCATTAATCGGGTTCCAGGATCGGTGGTGATGTTGGGACCAGATTAAACGATGGAAATTGAACAAAGAACAACAACAATTTAATTATTGTGTTTATTCTTTCGAATAGTTTTCTTTCTTTCTTTTTTTTTGTGTTGAAATTGTCAAATGAAATGTGTCGTTTTTCCCATTCTTGTGAACTCATCATCGTAAACTTTTTTCCTTGACCTCGCAAAAATCAATAACTGGTCAATCAATCAACAATAAAATGAAATATTATCCAATTACAAACAAATATAATCATCATCATCATTATCAATAATAAATTTACAGTGTAAATCAAAATTATATAAATTATTATTATTATCATCATCATTAGTTCTTTGATTGATTGTTCCAAAGTCTCATCATTTGAATATTAAACAACAACAGTTCTTCAATGTTTATTTCGTGTAATAAGTGTATGTGGTAGCCAACAATTTTTTTCTGTGTAATCATCGTACTTAAACAAAAATGATGTTTTTCAATGATACATTTGATTTGATTTGATTTTTTTTCTATATAATAATAATTTCTGTGTTTGTTTGTTTGTTTTCATTTCATAATTTGGTGATATACGAATTATGTTTCGGATTATTATTATCAAAAAATAATTATTATTTTTATTATCATCATTATTATTATTATTATTGTTTGAAAATTCATAATCATTCGTGTTGTTTTTTTTTCAAGTTTTGTACTGAACAACGAATTCAATTTTTGTGTGTTTCTTTATAATTCACACTATTGTGCTTGGTGTATATTTATTTTCATCATCATCATTATAATTTTTGGATTATAATCAATCAAATTGATTGATTAAATAAACTTTTTTTTTCAATTTTTGTTTTGCGTATCATACACGATTTTGTGGACAAATAAAAAAAAACTTATAAACATTATTGTTGTTGTGGAACATCTTATTGTTAAATAAAGTTGGATTTTGTTTTATTTCTCTTTTTCTTGTTCACATGAAACAATTATAATAAAATTTTAATGAACAATTTTAAAACTTAAAATTCATCTTAACTGAAAGTTATTTTTTTTCACTCACACTCCTAATAATAAGGTAAGTTTAGTTAATTTTCAAATCTTTAACTATTGTGAAATTCATTTAATTCATACGATAGAAAGAATGGAAGAAAAAAAGAAATTCTCTGAAACAAATAAAAGAAATTCTAAAAATTAATTATTCACTCCTCTCAGAAATCTTTTGGGACGGATTTTAAACTGATTTTTTTTGTTGTTGATTGAATCCAATATGAATATTTATTTTAATTTGATTAATATCGACAATTGATATAATTGTTTTGTTGATAAATAAATAATCGATCATTCAATTCCTTTCGTCATCATCATTATCAAGATAATATTATATTAAGAATATAATGATTGAATAATAATGAAGCAAAAAATTTCCGGTCTGCTAATTTTCTCTCTTCATTTTGTTGTTGATGTTTTTGTCATCCATCCATCCATCCATCCACCAACTATAGAATAACATAATCAATTTCTTTATAGATTTTTTTTTTGCCATTCCATTATTCAATTAACAATATTCAATAGGAAACAAAAATGATTTCTTCAATAAAAAAATGATTTGTTATGTTGGCACCATAGGTCGCCTTAGTCATCATTATGCATTAATATTTATTACGACAACAATACAAACATTTTCATCCGACACATTAATCAAAGAACCAAAAAAAAAAACATATAGTTTTACTTATATAATGTCAAAAATAGTTTGTATTTTAGATGAACTTTTTTTTTCTCTCTCTCTATCTCTTCCCCCCACCCCATATGTACTAATAATAATAATAATCATAATATGTGTGAGTAAAGTGTGTGTATGATCCAAACGGATTCGATCCAGTAGATTTGGTTGTTTTTTTTCTATTTGGCTTATTGTATAAAGTGTGCATGTTTGTTTTTATGTTCGTTGTTTGCCCATCATAATCATCATCATCAACAACATCATAATCATCATAACCACTTCATTGCTGCCACTAAATTGCATATAAAATAAATAATATAATAGACTAAAATTGAATGGTTCTGTATCGGCATCCTCATTCTATTTTTCAACATTCATTACTCATTCTATTCTATTCAATTCTGTTCCATAATATTCAATTCTTTTAAATGTTTGTCTACTGTATTTGCTTTATTGTATTTATATAGACAAATATTCTTTTTTTCCCATTCATATATATGAAATTTATAATACAATAAATCGTATTATTCTCTCTAAATGCGGTCTATTTGTGTATGGAAAATTCTTTACAAATCTTTTTTCGTGTTTCATTACACACACACACACACACGATTCTTTCATGTTTCACATTGTCAATGTTTATTCGTTTTGGTTACCGTTTTAATTTCAATGAAGAAAAAAAATCATAACAATGAGATTTTGTTTGTTTGTTTGTTGAATCAACGTTTAGATTATTGATTTTATAATATAATATGATGATGATGATGATGAAATTGTTGAGTTTTTGTTTTCTATTTATGAAAGATTTACACATAACATCTAAGAGTATCATCATTGATGGTTAAATAGACATGAAATCATCAACTCTTTTTTCTATGTTTTTTTTTCTCAGTTGATGGTAAATGATAATGATGATGATGATGATTATTATTATTATATCCACAATGTATAATGTGTGTGTGATTATATTTGTCATCATAAAAGATTTAACCATCATCATCATTATCATATAATCATCATATAATAATCATTATTTGTTTATTCGTGTCGGATTATTATTGTTATTATTATTTATGAATAACAAATACCCCAAAAAATGAAATCATAAATATTTTTGTTGTTGTCAAAATGAATTTTTTTTTCTTTGCAAAATTCATTTCATTTTCAGCCAAGAATTTTTTGTTTCATTTGAATGGTTGGTTGTTTAAAAGGGTGGAGCAAAAAGAAAAAAAGAAATTGGCATAAACTACGATTCTGTTTCACAGAAAAAAACACTGGTAAATCGTTGTTTTCAGTGATAATAAATTGTCACTTTTTTTTTGCTCCAATCATAAACAAAATATATATGATTCTTATTTATTTATTTACCGTTTTGTATCTTGTTTAGTAAACTTTCAACAAGATTCATACTTGTTTTTTTTCCCATTATTCTTATTCGTTGTTGAAATAAACACATTTATATTGATTACAGATTAAACCACTGGATTCAATTGTAAATGTGGTTGTGTGTTGTAATATCAAAATAAATATCGTTAAGGATCGTTTACCGTGTGTATGTGTGTAGGTTTGTTTATAAATAAAAAATTTTATTTTAATGTTTTTTTTCGTATCTTTCATTTTGTATTTATGTGAACATTATCAATGATCAAACAAACATTGTCGTTATAAATACAGAATTTATAGTTTTGTTTTGTTTTTCGAGATATCAATGTTATAAGATCTATTTGGCTAGTTTTAAATATAATTTATTCGATAATTATTTGATGCTAGCTTGTTTGATTGACAAATTTTTGTTTTTGTTTGTTGAACATTTGTTAAACAAGATTGTGAATTGAATATTCTTCCCAAACAATCAATAAGAGAAAAAAAATATGAATATTTATTAATCTTTGCCATATAGAGACATACACACACACTTTACAATCGACAATCATCATCATTTGATATCAACAAAACATGAAAAACAAGAATTAGAGTATGAAGAAGCAAAAAAAGAAAAAGATGCCATTCTTATTCTTGTATTCAGTGTGTGTGTGTGTGTGATGGTGAATAATTCATAATTGACTTGCATGACTACTCTCTTGTATCTTTAATATTTTAGATGTGTTATGTAGTAGTGGATATTAGATGTACGATACAAACACACAACAAATAAATCGACAACAACAACAAATAATATAATAAATAATAATATCAAATCAGCTCAATTGAGCTGATTTTGTTGTTGTTGAAAAAAAACTCGAATCTAACAAACAACAACAACAAAAACAACAGAGAAAAAATTGTAAGAAAAAAAAACACAGAGAGATATGTATGAAATTCTTGAAATTGAACTTTTTTTGTTGTTGTTGTAGCTATTTCTCCGTTTTCATCATTATCATCATCATTATCTATTCGAAACATCAACGTTTATTCATCTCCCCCACTATATTTTTTTTTCTCGGTTGTTAAAAGTTTCTCACCTTTGATTTTATTATCATTATTATAATGATGAAAATAATAATAATGATGATGATGACCATTGCAATGGCCTGAATCATTATCATTTGACATGATGATGATGATGATGATCATTTTGTTGTTTGGTTAGTTTTGTTTAGCCGCTAATAAATGTTTTAGTGAATAGTTAGTTATCAGTAGTCATATTGGTTATATGATCAGTAACTGCATCAGTAGTAGAGCGATTCAATTGATGCATCGCATCAATTGATGTTGATGATAAACTTGTCGGTCAATGTCATTTTGATGTTGAAAAAAAACCCTCAAAATGTAATGTAGGATTCTCTTTTTTGTTTTGTTTAATTTTTATTTGTTTCGGTTTTTTTTGTTGTTGATTGATCAATGAAACGTGAAAAAATTATTTGAATTTTGGTTGATTTTTAGTTTTTTTTTCTGGTCAGTATATTTTATAGATATCTAGTCATCCGTATCAAATAAGTGATTGAATAAATTTTTTTTGTTGTGTAATGTTAGTAGTGGTCAAGCGATTCTCGAAACAATGGAAAGTGTACATGATTGAATGAAATGAACAAGAAACATGAAATAAGATAATTTGTAGTTGTTGTCATATAATAATAATCATTATTTAATGATGATGTGAATCGTGACCTTTTTTTATTTTATTTTTTTTTCTTCGTTTCTTAATGACAACAAAATGAGACAAATAAACAAACAAATGGTTATTAATATATAGTAGTAAGAATGAGTAATAATATAATATTCTTATGTGATAACAAATAATTATTAAATTAAAAATGAATTCAATTTGTTAATTTAGTTGTTTGTCTTATTTCCGTGTGATTTTTTAAAATATATTATCAATATTCAATATTGTCCTGCATTGAATTCATTTTTGTTCATAGAAAAAAAACAACAATAAAATAGAGTTATTTGAAATTGTTTGTTCGGTTATGTTGGTTTTGGTTTTCGTTTCGGTTTTAGCATTGTAATCGAGAATGAATGTATAGGTACTCATTAGAAATATACAAATATTAAAATATATACTAGAATCACAAGTATATTTTGTATTTAACAAATTTTCTATATTTGTTTGTGCGTCAAATCGGTTCTCTGAAAAAAAACGGTGATCTTTATTTTCACTATTCTTTATATACACAATATAATATTTGGAAACAAATTTGCTATATAATCAATGATGATGAACATAAATGATAATCATGAGAACAATAAAAAAAAAGAATTCCACAAAAAAAATAAAAGACCAGAATGTGAGAGAGAACAAGAATTGTTTTTTTTCGGAATCCAATATAACAAGAAATAAAATCTTGTTATTTTTTTTTCGTTATTCACTTTGTGATGAACTAAACTTTTCATAAACCTTTTTTTTGTTTTGTTTCCATGTGAAGTTTCACGATATGTGTTGGAATAATGTGAAAAGAGAGTAAATGAAATTAAAATAATAATAATAATAATAATAAAAAGCCGAGAATCATAACCGATTTGGATCTCATATTTTTTTCTTGTTCCTCATTTCAACTTGATAAAATTCCATTTTAAAGTTTCATGAAATTTTTTTTTCTCAAAATTTTTTTTTTTGAATATATTTGGGCCATATAATGTTTAGTGGAAAGGTAGAACAATATGAATATTTGAAATTTTTTTTCAAATGAAAATATTAACCAATCGACTGACGTTAGAATGCGGGAAAATTTTTTCAATAAATTTATTCAATTTAAAAAATATTTCATTCAACATTGTCATTTGAAAATTTCAGAGAATTTATTGATGAAAAAAAAAGTTGAAAATTATTATTCAATAATGAGAAAAAATTCCGACTTTCCATGGAATGATAACATGACGGCCTTGATCGGGTAATTATGAGAATGGTTGTCGGGCAAAAAAAAGAAAAGAAAAACTAAATTTCCACATTTATCAACGTTTCATTTCATTTTATTGTACTTTTTTTTCCATTTCTTATATATTCTGGCCGCAAAGATTTTATTTCGATTTTTTTTTCTCTCATTATTTTTAAAATGAAATGTTATAAAATAATTTTACTAATTTGTCAATTATTTCATCTTTTTTTTAATTTTTTGTTTATCATTTCAGTTTACATTGGACAATTGCATCAATAAAAAAAAACAATCACCGGATTTCCGGAAAATGATCAACGAATAAAGTTCATCTCAATACAATTGAATATTTTACATATTTTTTAACGATAACCAAAAAAAAAATCCGATTAACAAACAATAAAATCCAAGAAAAGAAAAACCAAAAAACGGATTTCATCTGTCCATAAACAGGGCAGGAGTGATACAAGGTGGCTGACGATTTGGCAGTAAATTCTGTGGGCGAAATTCGCGTTGGGCCAGCACACCAGGCACGCTTGCCCGATTGCAAACTGGATGTGTCGCCGCGTGAGATGCCCGAAAAATGCGAATCATTAGAAGAGCTGCGATGGATGCCTGGACTAGAAGAATGCGATCTAAAAATGTATTTGCGTGCGGCTAGAAGCATGGCTGCATTTGCCGGTATGTGTGATGGTGGATCAGCTGAAGATGGATGTTTAGCCGCTTCAAGAGACGATACAACTATAAACGCTTTACAATTGGTATCTAATAATTTGTTTTTGAAAAAAATAAATTGAACTTTTTTTCACATAATATTTATTTTATTTGTTTATGTCGATTATATCTGTTATTGTTTCGATTTGTTTGTCAATATCAAACACAGTTGCACGAAAGCAATTACGACACCGGTAAGGCTCTACAAGCTCTTGTCAAAAGTCCAGTGCCAAAAGGCATTGATAAAAAGTGGACTGAAGAAGAGCAGGTAATGTTATTTGATGGAAATTACTTATTATTTTAAAAAAAATATTTCAAATTTAATGATCATGTTATACAGAAACGATTCGTAAAAGGTTTACGATTATACGGTAAAAATTTTTTCAAAATTCGCAAAGAATTATTATCACATAAAGAAACGGTAAGAATGTCTTTACTTTTTTGTTCAATTTATTTTTATTTTTTTCCACAATTTATTAGCCCGATTTGGTCGAATATTATTATCTTTGGAAGAAAACTCCACAAGCCGCTTCGGCACGACCACATCGTCGTCATCGACGCTGTGTACTTCGACGAATTCGTACACAAAACAATAATAATAATAATCCTAATGTTCAAAACAAATCAACTTCAAACAAAGACAACGATAACGTAGCCGCTAGTTCTGCAAGTGAAGACGAAGCGGATCAAACAGACGACTCAGATTCACAAATTAACAGTGACCTTGCCTGTAGTAATTGTAATACAATAGCCAAAGAACTACATCAAACAGGCAAAGATCGTTCATTGTTGTGTAATGAATGCCGTAGTTATCTGAAAAGATACGGTGATCATAGACCAATTGGTAGTAATAAATCATCAACGACAACAACGACCGATTCAATCAATAAATCAACATCTTCCAATCTACATACTAATAATAATAATAATAATAATTGCAACAGTAATAATAAAATGGACGATGAACAATTTTCAACGACGGCAAGCCAATTAAGTAATGGCAAACCAAATTTACGTGTTCGACGAAACAAAAGCGATAAAAATAGTAAATTCGAATTGAATCGTGGTAATTCAAAATCATCCGAAAACAGTAGCCCTGAACGTAATAGTGATGCAAATCCATTAGAAATTGAGACAACTAATGGTGATGCTACTTCCGTTACTATTACCGGCACTGGTAATGATAATGAAAACAAAAAGATTGATCCGATTCTTAACATCAGCAATAAAAAACGACATTATTCCAGTGTCAACAATAACAATGACAATTTTAATGGTTGTGATGGCAATAACCAACAACAAGAATCGAATGATGAACAGCTGGACAATGACATTAAACGGAAAAAATTATCATCATCATTGGATGATGATGATGATGGCCTTGATTCGGATCAAAGTAAACCGGATGAATCGGCTATTAATCTTAATGAAGATGTAAATAAAATTATCGAAAAAATCAAAGACAGTTCACCGGAAAATGATTCACATGATAATGATGACGACGATGACGATGACAATAATAGTACCACAGCTAAAATCGCAAAAAGTGAATATCGAGAAAAAGATAATGCGGATGGTACAAGTGTGACTGATGTTTCCGCCAAACTAGAATCGATTGAATCAAAAAATGATCTTGATACGAAAGATTCAGATGAAACCAAATTCTCCGATAGAATTCGTGAAGATGATGATCAAATAATGATCAAAACTACTAAAGATGATTCGAATGATGATGGTCATTTGGATAGTCAACAAAAATCTGAATCATCGGCAGAGCCATTATCGTCTGATCATTCGGATGCTAAACCAATGATCAAAGATGAACCACCATATTCACCACCACAAGATCTATCTTCATCATCATCACGACAAGAAAAACCATGTTTGGCCGAGCAACAAAATCCTTCTGTGCCTTTCTCGACCATTTCAATGATTCGTGGCAGTTCATCGCCTACAGTAGCATCAACAATATCATCAATCATCAAAAAAGAAGACAATGTTACCGCTGTCAATTATTCGACAACTAACACAGTGAATTTGTCATCAACATCTGCTTCGACTAAATTGTCCCCACCATCGTCATCATCAATATCGCCATCACCGAATCATCATCCGGCTCACCATTCACTACATCCTGGCGGTCCACCCCCGCTCCCACCACCAATACCGCCCACATCATCATCATTTAACTTTCATTCTTCATTACCCCCAATGCCGCCGATACCATCGGATCGATCCCAATTCCCATATCTAGTACCACCATTGAATTTCTCGTCACCACATCAACACGATCCGATATCGATGAAATCGATCAGCGAAAAGGATTCCGCCAATGTGGGTCAATCAAATGAATCGTTGAAAGGTTCACGTGATGAAAAACAACGTGATGGACAAGAAACGGGTAGTGGTAAATCCGGCAACAGTAGTAATAAAAACGAAAGTGGTCGAAGATTACCCAGTCCCAGAACATCGGTGCCCAGCTCAACGGCTCCTACTTTTCCTTCGTTAGGTAATTTTAATGAATTACAAATGGATGAAATGTCAATGTACTTGGCTAACAACAATTCACTGCACTTTCCAACAGTGCCACCATTTATGACATCACCAAACGATCCATTTTTGTTATCGCATCCGAATTTTCCAGGCTTACCTCCCGGCAGTGATCGTTTGCCTTTTAATCCGCTCATGAATTATCCTCCTGGATTTCCACATGGATTGCCTGGTCTGCCGTTTATGCCGCCATGGCCCCAGTATGCTGCAGCGACACGTCTGCCACAAGGTGCATTTCCTTCTTCGTTTTTACCACCTCCGCCTGGTTCGAATTCTTCCGGTAATATTGGTGGTCCAGGTTCTTCGGCTGCTGCTTCCCATTCACCTCATTCACAAATGTCATCCAAATCTAAGTCTCCCATTACATCGCAATCAAGTTCGCATCATGGTTCATCATCACATTTGCCATCAAATAAATCATCACATGACAACAAAGATGTATTCGATCCGAGAAGAGATTTTTATCAGCACGATGAAGAGGATTTTGATAGTTCATACTTGCCTCGTGGACCTAGTCCAGAACCGAAAATTGAAGATAGTGAATGTCATCGTAGTCATTCGGCCATGTATGTTATTCTTTGATCATTTTTTTGTTTTTGAAAAATTTCCAACATTTTTACTTGTTAATAGATTTTTGAGACATTGGAATCGCGGTGAATACAATTCTTGTGCACGAACAGATTTAACATTCAAACCTGCACCGGAATCACATTTATCTCGTAGACGAGAAGAACGGGCACGTAAAGCTGCCGAAAAAGAACGTGAAGAACATAAGGTTGATAGAAATTTAGTTGATTTAACATTTATAATTCATAAAACTAACCATATTTTTACAGAAATCTGCGGAAAAATCTGCTGCTGAAATGAAATCCAATCATGGATCAAATCAACCTGGTATGGTCGGTGATAATTCACATCTCGGTTCGATGGGTGGTCGTCGTACGCCAAGAAATTTCGACACACCTGCACTTCGCCAATTAGGCGAATATGCTCGACCACACACAGCGTATTCACCTTTTTCTCATCCTTCGCTTGGCCATCCAATGAATCCGATGAATCCGAATTTACCTCTTAGCTTACATTCCTCTGCTGGTGGACCATCTGGCCAAATTGATCAAATGGCATTAGCACAATTAATGCTAAAAGAACGCATGGAAGCAGAGGAGAAACAAAAAATGATGGAAAAACAAAAAGAAATGGAACAAATGAAATCACGTTCACAATCACAAACACCACAACATAATCAACAGCCGCAGCAACCACCACCATCGATGCCTTCGACATCGTCAGGATCGTTGTTTGATCCACATTTATTAGACATGCAAAGGCGATTGGCACAATCGACAGCACCAAGTATGCCAAATTCTACTATGGCCAATCACTCGAATACGTCATCGGCAAATGCTGCCATGTCGTTGGCCGGTGCGAATCCAGGATTAAATCCGTTCATGTTGTTTTCACCGAATGATCGTGAAATTCAACAAATGGCTGCAGCTGCTGACGCGGCTCGATTCCAAGCCAATGCCGATCGTCTTGGTAGTCTAAGTGCTGATCATATCTTCCGGTTACAAATGGGTCTAGCCAATCCTGATTCATTACATCCTGGCGCTTCTGGGCCTGGAAATAGTGGTCCTGGCTCTTCCTTTCAACATCCATCATTGCATCCATCGTCTGCCAGTGCTCAGAATGCAGCGGCAGCAGCAGCAGCCGAACAAGCCGCTGCTGCACAAGCTGCTTTAGCTAATGCGGCTGCAATCGGCATGCCAGGATCACAATTTGATCCGGCAAGTTTGCATGCTGCTGCGGCTGCTGCAGCTGCTGCAGGTCATAATTTATTACAATCAGGCGCATATCCATCACGTCCGGGATCAATTATGCCGAGACCATCCGAATTGTCACAACAATCATCTTTATATAGATCATTTGAGGATCAACTAAATCATCAGGTACGATTCACAATTTATTTAGAAATGTATTGAATAATTGAAAATAATTTTCTCAAAATAGTTTTCGGCTCAAGCTTTATCAGCTCAATCACAAGCATTACAACATGAACAATTTCAACGACAAATGCTAATGGAACGTGAACGTTTAATAGTACATCAGCATCAAATTCTTCACGAAGAATTTTTAAGGTATTTTTTAAAATTACTTTTATTTGGTTACATTTTTAATGTCATTTTATTTTTGATAGACAACGAGAAGCAGCCAGTCGAAGGCCAATGTAAATAATACAACGAATTGAATGTAAAAGGAAAATGAAAAAAAAATTTGCCAAGTAGAACTTGAAAAGCTTTTTTTTTTCTTTTCCAAATTCTCAACAATCTCCATTATCATTATCATTATCATCATCATCATCATTAACATAACAATATCTGACCGAACTCGGATGGAAATTATTATTGTTCATTTTTTTTCTATCTTTCTCACTTTTTCATTCACTCATTTTATGCACTACAGAATATAACGATTTATTTATTATCAATTTGAAAAACAAATTTCGGTGATTTTCCAGACAAAATTGAGAAGATAAAAAATCATTTTTTTTGGCGATATATAAAGAGAAAAGAATTATCATTATTTTTTCATCATCATCATCATCATCTTTATCATTAATTAATCAATCAATCATTTGTATCAATCAACAGCAACAATTTTCAAAGAGATAAATAACCAAAACAAATTTTCGTACACAAACACTCATAATTCGATTCGATTTTTTTCATAATTTTTTTTGCACCGCCATCATCATCATCATCATAAGAATTTCGCAACTACCAATCCGAATGTTGAATAATTTTTTTCACATTCTCAACAATGATTTATGTTTCAATGGAGTATCGATACCCAATTCTTATCTCTGGGCAGCTCCATCATCATAATCATAATCATCATTCACATCATCATCATTCACATCATCATTATCATCATTGACTATTATATATTTTTTATTATATTATTAGGTTTCTTTTTTTTTCTTTTGATCTTTTCCATCAATCGACCTTCCCTGTCACAAAAATGACAACGATGTACAAGCATTGAATAAGAAATATAAAACAAAAAACAATTTGGAACGATAATTCATCCATTTTTTTTATTTGTTCATGAATTTGTTTTTTTGTAAACAGTATTATCAATCAAGGAAAAAACATCTCCCAAAAATGAATGATGGCAGTAATTTTTTTTTCAATGAAAAATGTTTCAATCATTTAAACAACAAAGAAATCAATCAAACTATTAATTATTACAGATTCAATCAAACAAACAAAGCTCACGCTTACATACATAAACAATTTAAACATGAAACAAAAAAAAAATTTAATCTTTTTTTTTAAAATTTGTATGGCATTTTTTATGTGACATGAATATTTGAAAAAAATAGGAAATTGAAATATTTCACTCTTTTTATTGCTTACATAAGATACACTTACAATTATTACATGTAACATCGATCCATTTTATTGGTTTCATTTATTGACTTTTTTCGTTTTGATAATGAAACAATCAGTTTTTTTTGACATTATGATCACTATCTCATCGTTGATCACTGAATGAGAAGAGACGAAATAAAAAATCGTAACAATAAATCATCAAAAGTGTTAGGAAATAAGATGAGTAAATATAAAAAGAAATTCCTTCATCATCGACATTTAAAGTTATAATTATTTTTATTTTATTTTCTTTTTTAATCATTGTCATCATCATCATCATCATCTTCATCATCATCATCATCATTATAATTATAATTATTATTCTCATTATTAAGAATTCATAATTTTCAAATCAATTAATAAAAATCTAATCGAACAAATTCTTGTTCATTTTAATTTTTTTCATTTAATCATTATAATTTCTCCGAATTCAAACGGGCACGACTATTTTGACAAACTGTTGACATAGACGATTTGCATCATGTTTTTTTTCAATTCTTGCATGAGGATTACATTCGGTCTTTTTTTTACATCGGTTATTTCAAAATTTAAATTATGAATTCGGCGGCAAGATATTTGAATAGATTCGTTCTTAAACCAGGTGGATTTGCTCAATTGCGTCGATCAAATCCTCTGTTTTTACAATTTCATAGTGAGCATCAGTCATGGAATGTTCAACATCAACAATTTCGTTATAGACATTCGGCTAGATTGAATACAGTTGTCGTATTCGTTCCGCAACAAGAAGCTTGGATCATCGAACGTATGGGACGTTTTAATCGAATATTAGATCCTGGGGTTAATGTTCTTATACCTGTTCTGGATAGCATCAGTTACGTTCAAAGTTTAAAAGAAATTGCCATTGATATTCCGCAACAGTCAGCTGTCACAAGTGATAATGTCACATTACATATTGATGGCGTTCTTTACTTGAAAGTTATCGATCCTTATAAAGCCTCATATGGTGTTGAAGATCCGGAATTCGCTATTACTCAACTTGCACAAACAACGATGCGATCGGAAATCGGTAAAATTCATTTAGATTCGGTATTCAAAGAACGTGAAATGCTTAACATCGCTATTGTCGAATCGATCAATTTGGCCAGCAGCTCTTGGGGTCTAACATGTATGCGTTATGAAATTCGAGATATAACGTTACCTGCAAGAGTTCAGGAAGCTATGCAAATGCAAGTTGAAGCAGAAAGAAAAAAACGTGCAGCCATTCTTGAATCTGAAGGTATTCGTGAAGCCGAAATCAATGTTGCTGAGGGTAAAAAACAATCTCGAATTTTATCATCTGAAGCTAATCTTACAGAACAAGTTAACGAAGCAAAAGGTCTAGCCGAAGCAACTAAACTTAAAGCGGAAGCTAAATCAAAAGCCATACATATTGTTGGACAATCATTGCGTTCGATGGAGGGAAGTGATGCAGCAAGTTTGAATATTGCCGAGCAATATATTGGTGCTTTTTCAAAATTGGCCAAAACAGGAAACACATTGATCTTGTCATCGGATGCAGGAGATGTGGCTAAAATGTCAGCAAATGTAAGTTGAGAAAACATATCGAAAAAAAACAAATAATTTTTTGTTTGCCTCCATAATTATTAAACAGGCCCTTCAAGTATATAAAACTTTGTCTCGTCCAGAACGGATTGATGAAGAATTGGAAGAAGATCCGGAAGAATATTTTAGCAATCAAGAAGAAAATGAAAAGAAATAAATAAATAAAAATTTAATTTTCATTTGTACAGAATAATAAAAAAATTTACAAATTATTGCCAAGGCTGACTTTTTTTCCTAATACAAATAAATAATGAATGAGCATTCGTTGCTTTTTGAAATGGTCACTTTTGTTTCACAATCAATCATTCTTCGTATAATTGTTGTTGTAAAAGTTTTTTTATCTTATTATTTTTTTCGATCATTTTTTGTATAAGGACATCTTGTTTTTGAATTTCAATTTCATCGAATGCACCGACTGAATCGAGTAATGGCACTAATTCATTTAATTTGGTTTGGAAAAAATTTTCACGTTCAAACAATAGATCATCTTGAATTTCATATGATTGTTCCAATTGATTTAATTTTTCTAATAAATGTCCTTGTTCACGATATTTAGTCATGATTACATTCAAAACTTTTTGATGATTTTGTATGGCAGATTCTAGTTCTAGATTTTCATTTTCCAATTCTTGAATAGTTTTTCTTTCTTGTTCCAATGCAGCAATTAAGGAAGCTCGTGTATTATATGTAGATAGATTATTAAGATAGTTAAGTTCGTCATTATACTGTAAAGAATAATGAGTGGAAAAAAAAAGATTAATGAATTAAAATGAAAACAGAATACTAAAAATATAACAAACCTCTTTATTCAATTTAATTGTATTATATAAATCTTGAGAAGAATTGGATAAATCATTCATCTGTTCATTAAGATTATCTAATTGTTGAGTATTTTTTTGTAATGATTGTATAATTTTATCAATATTTGGAGTCATATTATTCGACATTTATTAGGGTAATATTGGTGAAATTTTTATTTTTTTTCTATTTTAAATTAGAAAGAAATTGGAAGATTCCAAAATCAATAAATGTCCAAAATGTAAATTAGTAAGAAAAATTGTAAACAAACGCTATCACAAGTCTGCAATAATTATGATGATGGGCTATAAACAATCGATATATCGAAATTTGCTGGAAACATTTTGTTTACCTCGAAATTCCATATTTGTACTGTTTTTAAATTAACGAATCCTTTATGATGAAAATGATGATAATTAATGAAACGATAATGATTTTTAATTATTATATCTTTAACTTTCATTCAAAAAAGTTTGATTATTCAAACAAAAACAATTTGATAAAATGAAATTTTATCTAAGAAATTTTCTACTAATTCTTTTGATAGCATTTGGATCGATTTTTGGTTGGCTCATTTTCATTTCAAATAGTAATCCTACGAAAAACCCTTCATTTATTGCCAATACCATTTATCCTATTGCAAGAAAATTAATAATCCAAAATAAAACAGAAACTTTATCGAATGATCTTATTGTTGCATCACCAGTGGAACAGCTTTCAGTGGCCAATAGTAAAAATGTTGATTCTTTTACCGAATTCAAATCGGTGTCAAAATCGAGAAGAATACGAAACATTACTTGTAAAATCAACGGTGAATACAAGATTAATTGTTTGAAATTGATCAATAGCAAAGAAACTTCCGTCTATATTCCATTTTCTTTTATTCATAAATATTTTGAAATCGGTGGTAAAATTGTTAATCCAAAAAGTCGAGATGAATATTTTGAATGGAATCACAGCTATTCGAAGATATTCTATCCAGATCAACCATACGATCCGGCAAATTTATTTCTTTGGTTTGGCAATTATAATGTAGAATTTCGTGATCGTGTTAAATGTATTTCGGCCATCGATAATGTTCCAATATCGACGCAATGGTTTCCTGCTGGTCATCTTTATCCCACACAAATCTGTCAATACGGTCTCAGCCATTTCAATAAAAATCTTACATCTCCACCGTCCGAACGTATCCAATTAATTAACGATGGAATTGTATCCAATTTAAATGTTGATCTTAATTTTGTTCCAGATTCTGGAAAAAAATATCTTATTATTAAAGATGCGCGATTGGATTTGAAACATAATCATACAAATTATCTGATTGGGCAACTTGATTTAAAACTAGAAGGAAATGCTTCAATTACATTTGTCATGTTTCATATACCGACACAACAATTATCTTATGTCGTTTATTCTACTATCGACAAAGTGTTTGTCCTACAACCTGAAGATAATCGTATCACATATGGTTTAGGATCAAAAGCTTCCCAAAAACATGAATGGTTTCGTCTTACTCGTGATCTACTTGTGGATTTATTCAAAGGAAATTCCATTTCTGACCGAAAACGCAACAATTATCATGTTTTAAACATTCAAATCAATGGTACTGTTCATATCCAAAATCTATCCCTTAAAACTTCAGCACATGAAGAATTTACTATGGCAGCTGGTGATTGGTTAATCCAAAATCAAAATGCTCAAGGTGGTTGGCGTATTCAAGTGGATAGAAAATTATCCAAAGGTTTATTGATAATCAAAAAAGGTTGGCATTCTGCAATGGCACAAGGACATGCAATAAGTTTGTTAACTCGATTATATCGTGCTACAAACAATACAAAATATTTGGAAAGTGCAAAAAAAGCATTGAATATCTTTGAAATCGAATCATACAAGAATGGTGTTAAAGCCATTTTGTTTGATAAATATATCTGGTATGAAGAATATCCAACTGTACCAAGCATATTTGTTCTAAACGGATTCATCTATTCATTGTTCGGTTTATATGATCTTAGTAAAGCTTGTCAAGATAATATATGTCAAAAATCTGGCCAATTTTATGATGAAGGAATACGATCATTAGAATCAGCTCTTTCAATATATGATTCTGGTTCAGGATCATTTTATGATCTTAGACATTTGAGCTTAGGTATAGCACCGAATATTGCACGTTGGGATTATCATTCAACACATATAAATCAATTATTATATTTGTATACAATTACTCGAAATGATCTTTTCAAAACGATTGCCGATCGATGGATTGCCTATATGAAAGGTCATCGTGCATCACATAATTGATAAATTGATAAATTTGTTTTAATTTGATACAAAATTCCCTTCTTAAATTCTTATTATTGTGATATTTTTATTGATTTTTATTTTATAATTTTGTCAATTAATAAGCAACAGCACCCTCTCTCTTCTCTTAATTATTATTTGATAATTTCATTTTGTTAATTTAAAAAAATAAAAAAAAATAGTTTAAACTTTTTATCAATTTTTTTTTTTGGTTTCAATTTTTAAAACTTGAATCACGTTAGATTTGAATGGCTAGACAGATTTCAAGCCGGTTGTAATGCGCATTCTCTGAACAGGTCATACATTTGAGGGCACGTCTTCAAAATCAATTCTCCTCTTGTGTGTGTATTAAAAAAGAGTGAGAATTTTTTTTTTCGTTCTTAAACGAATAGAAAAAGATACAACATTCACCGACATTGGTGCTTGATGTGTGTTTGGTTTTTTGTATGTTGTTTGTTCACTTCTGATATTTGATTTTTGTGTTTCATTAAAATTATTATAAAAAAGATTTTTTTTTTCATTTATCCATTGTAAGTTTTTTAAATTTTGCAACTTTCTTCAAACGATTCAAAATAATCAATTATTGTTTAATTAGTTTGACGACAACGATTAAAGAAAAATGGCAATGAGTTCGCTTGCAATTCGATCATTGAATTTGACCAAAGCCGCTGCTAGTAAAAGTGGTGCCCTTAAAACTGTAAATGATATATCTATTTTCTTGAGATTTATAATTCATTTTTTTGTTGATCCATTAGCTTACCAAATGTTATGTTCCAATTTGTGGTAATGTGGCATCACGAAATCTTCAAACATCAACATGCCAACAAGCTTCAGCTGCTGAAATGTCCTCCATCCTTGAAGAACGTATTCTTGGACATACAGTTTCGGCTAATTTGGATGAAACAGGTCGTGTACTTTCGATTGGTGACGGTATTGCTCGTGTTTATGGATTGAAAAATATTCAAGCTGAAGAGATGGTTGAATTTTCGAGTGGCCTTAAGGTTTGTATTAAAAAGCAAAATTCTGAATTTTAAAATCAAAAATCAATTTTTATATTTTCATTAACATTAGGGTATGGCTTTGAACTTGGAGCCTGATAATGTCGGTATTGTCGTATTCGGTAACGACAAGTTGATTAAAGAAGGTGATATTGTCAAGCGAACTGGTGCCATTGTCGATGTTCCAATCGGTGCTGAATTACTTGGTCGTGTTGTCGATGCTTTGGGCAATCCAATCGATGGTAAAGGTCCAATCAAGACTAAAACTCGTGCTCGTGTTGGTGTCAAAGCTCCTGGTATCATTCCTCGTATTAGTGTCAGAGAACCTATGTTAACGGGTATGAAAGCCGTTGATTCGTTGGTGCCGATTGGTCGTGGTCAACGTGAGTTGATTATTGGCGATCGTCAAACTGGTAAAACCGCTATTGCTATCGATACTATTATCAATCAAAGACGATTCAATGATGGTAGCGAAGAAAAGAAAAAATTATTCTGTATCTATGTTGCTATTGGTCAGAAACGATCCACCGTAGCTCAAATCGTCAAACGTTTGACTGATTCTGATGCCATCAAATATACGGTTGTTGTATGTGCTACCGCTTCGGATGCCGCTCCATTGCAATATTTGGCTCCATATTCTGGCTGTGCTATGGGAGAATATTTCCGTGACAATGGCATGCATGCATTGATCATCTATGACGATTTGTCTAAACAGGTAAAAATTACAGTTGTCAATAGCCAAAGGATTTTTTATATGAAAATTAATTTGTATTTGTGAATAGGCTGTCGCTTACCGTCAAATGTCCTTGTTGCTTCGTCGTCCACCAGGTCGTGAAGCCTACCCAGGCGATGTTTTCTACCTTCATTCCCGTTTATTGGAACGTGCTGCCAAAATGAATGAAACATTCGGCGGTGGATCATTGACAGCTTTGCCAGTCATCGAAACACAAGCTGGTGATGTATCAGCCTATATCCCGACCAATGTCATTTCAATTACGGATGGACAAATTTTCTTGGAAACTGAATTGTTCTACAAAGGTATTCGACCAGCTATCAACGTCGGTTTGTCTGTCAGTCGTGTCGGTTCGGCTGCTCAAACCAAGGCCATGAAACAGGTAAAATAAATATCTTTTCTATTTGTTGCCCTATTTATTTTACAATGATCTTTGAATACAGGTTGCCGGTTCTATGAAATTGGAATTGGCTCAATATCGTGAAGTCGCCGCTTTCGCTCAATTCGGTTCCGATTTGGATGCTGCAACTCAACAATTGTTAAATCGTGGTGTTCGTTTGACCGAGCTTTTGAAACAAGGACAATATGTACCCATGCCGATTGAAGAACAGGTTGTCGTCATCTATACTGGTGTACGTGGTTATTTGGATAAATTGGATCCATCAAAAATTGGCAAATTTGAACAACAATTTTTGCAACACGTGAAAACATCTCATTCAAGTCTTTTGTCTACGATCGCTTCTGAAGGTCAAATTAGCCCTGATACAGATGGTAAACTCAAACAAATTGTCAGTGATTTCCTTGCTTCATTTGTGGCAAGCCAATAAAATATGTTAGGCCTGAAAAAGTTTTTAAAGTAAACACACACAATAAAAAACAAAAAAAAAATCGATACGTAGTTAAATTTTGGATCAATTAAATTGAAATGAGGAAAAAAAATTTGTAATTTTATTGTTTAAAAAAATTTTTGATTCAAATTATTAACATTTATAAATAAATTAAAAAAAAATTGAAAAATTTATTAATTTTTTTCACAAATCAAATACTTTCTAATCGATTCAGGTATATCAAGTTTACCTGTTTCGAATATTTGAAATTGTTCAACAATCGAATATAATAATGGAATTAAATTGATTGATGATGTAATCAAGTGACAATCTTGATAGTTTGACATTCCTAATCGTTGTGTAATATAATGATGGTGATGGATAATTTCACCAATCGGTATCCATTCCTGTCGAGATTTTAACCATGATAATAGTATATATTTATCATATTCATTTGGATACAATGAATGAATATCGGTTCGAATTGTACAACGATCGATTCCAATCGTTTTGAATATATTCCAAAATAATTTATATAAATCATTCATAACTTTTGATGATTCATTCGCACTGGACAAAATGGTTGCACGTATTAAATGATTTTGTTCAATTGAATCGCAATGATTATATGCGCTACCGATTTGATAAAATTTTCCACGATCAATTTTCTGTTTCGATAACCAGGCACAAAATGATTCCAATGATGCATCACCGACCAAATGTAAACGTTGATTATCTTCACTTTGATTGCTTGCCAAACATAATCGAAATAGATCTTCACGAAATGACCTATAATTAACACATTCAATGATAGCACTTTTGACTAGATCTAAACCATTGACTAAAATATGTCCTGATTCATTTAGCGATTGGCTGAACATATCGATCAAACCATAATATAATAATGCACCTTCGCCATGTAGATAATTGGCACCAGGTCCAACGATTGATCTTGTGTACAGGTTATTTAGATAACCAAGTCGAACATAATTATGTGAAATTTGACCAACAGTATTGTTATTAAATTGATCTATTATTTCAGGTTCATTACGGATACTTGGTTCGATTTCACATGGTATGCTCAACAAGAATGGTACAATAGTTTCTTCAAGAGTAAAAAGATTTTCACGTGATTCGACTAAATCCGAATAACATTGTTGATATTTTTCCTGTAAAGTTTCATTGGAATCATTGGATTTTTTTATTTTTCCTAATAATTTATTTCGTTTCTTTTTCAACGATTCAGTAGTGGTTAGATGTTTGATAAAATCATTCAATGAATCCGATAGTTTAGGATTATTGAAATAATTATTTTCAATATTACGTATCCGAAATGATTGTTCAATTTTATCGAGATTTTGTCGAACATAATTCAAATAATTAACATCATATTTAGGATCAAGAACACGAAATAATTCTTTTGCATATTTGGCCGAAACATATAACGATGATTGTAATGGTGATGTAAAAGTTGAGCAATTCTTTAAATTATTGTTATTAAGAACAAAAATATAACGGCGAAATGTTTGCGCTGACAATTTGTTGAACAACATGATTATTTATCTGCAGAATTATCGAAGTTTTTTTTGAATTCGAAAACAGCTGTTAGAAGATTTTTGATCGGTGAAAAGATGGCAGCACTTGTATCACGAATTTCTATTTTTTTTGAAAAAAAAATATTTAAAAAAAACCAGGAAATAAATACAATTTTCCAAGAATAAAAAAAATGATGATGATTTTGAATAAGAATGAATAAATTTTCTCAAAGTTATAAGCCAATAAAGATGATGATGATGATTATGATTATGATTATGGCCTTTATCTGATAACAAGATTATGTATGACGACTACGACAACGACAACAACAACAATGATAATGGCTGATTTTATTTTATTTTTTTTGGTTCGCTTTTTGAAAAAAAATAAAAATAAAACTTCAACATAAACAGATAAAAAAAATTTGAAACGAATGAATTGAGAATTGTTTCACCAACAACAACAATACTGAGAAATGATCAATTGGTATATTGTGTGTGTGTGTGTGTGTGAAACTATTTTTTCGTGACTTGACTGAATAAAATGAAAATGAAAAAAAAACGATCAGAATCCATTGAAGAAAAAAAACGATATAAAAAAAACTGAGGAAAAAAAATACTAAAATGAAAATAAAAATAAAGAATTACAATAACACAGAAAATTTTTAACCATTCTTGTTTTGGTATGTGAAAAAAGAAAGAATGAAAGGGGAAAAAAAATATTTTGACGATCAAAAATATTTACGATGGTGATGGTGATGATGAAAACGAATATAACGGGATAATTTGACAAAAAACAACAAAAAAACATTCCATAGTCGAATCAATGGATATATATGGATTGTATATGGTGTTTGCTTTGGTCGGTCGATTCTTTCTTACCAGAAACACATCAAATAATGTTGTTTAAAAAAAACATAGTGCGAAGATTTTTGTTTCTACCATCAACATCATCATTGTGTGTATGTCCATTGTTGCTCAAAATATATTAATGGAAATAAAAGTTGAGAATTGTTTTTTTCTTATTTTTTTTTATTTATATAATTTCATTGCCATTTAAGTTTTACTTTTGTCGAAGCTTTGTTATAAACGATTAAATGAGATAAATGTTTTTGAAACAAACAAACACAAAAATAAAAATAAAACAATTTGATCGCATGGAATGATATGATGATCAAACGAAAAAAGAAAAGAAAAAAAGAGTTCAAGGTTTGATAGGTGGATAGGCGGATGTATCCGAATACATAATCGTCACCATACGATGCGCACGTCAAACAATAATTTTTTTCAATTTGATTTTTATTGCTTTTTTTTTGTTCGTCGATAATAATGGCCGAAAAAAAATGAAATATCCAATGGTAATTGTAATCGGAGTGAATGCGAATCCGCAAAAAAAAATCTTTTCCAAATCTAATTCAATTGTTGTTTTGCTCTTTCCTCACAAAAAAAACACATTCAAATAATAATAAGAATAACGTAATTTGATGATAAACTTGGACCAAAAGAAGAAAAACAAAAATATTCAAAATGACAAGAATAAAGATGAAAAAGTTTGAGAAACGATGAAACGTTTTTTTCTCCTATCTCTCACACGCTTCTTTGTGTGGGCAAACATTTATGAATTCATTATATAACTTTGAAATTAAGTGAATAATATTTCCTTACNTGTATGTCCATTGTTGCTCAAAATATATTAATGGAAATAAAAGTTGAGAATTGTTTTTTTTTTATTTATATAATTTCATTGCCATTTAAGTTTTACTTTTGTCGAATCTATGTTATAAACGATTAAATGAGATAAATGTTTTTGAAACAAACACAAAACAAAACAAAAATAAAACAATTTGATCGCATGGAATGATATGATGATCAAGAAGAAAAAAGAAAAAAAAAGAGTTCAAGGTTTGGTAGGTGGATAGGCGGATGTATCCAAATAATCACATAATCGTCACCATACGATGCGCACGTCAAAAAATAATTTTTTTCAATTTGATTTTTATTGCTTTTTTTCTGTTCGTCGATAATAATGTTTAAAGGAAAAATGAAATATCCAATGGTAATTGTAATCGAAGTGAATGCGAATCCGTAAAAAAAAATCTTTTCCAAATCTAATTCGCTTAACTCAATTGTTTTTTTCTCTTTCCTCACAGAAAAAACATTCAAATAACAATAAGAATAACGTAATTTGATGGTAAACTTGGATCCAAAAAAAGAAAAAGAAAAATATTCAAAATGACAAGAATAAAGATGAAAAAGTTTGAGAAACGATGAAACGTTTTTTTTTCAATCTCTCACACGCTTCTTTGTGGGCAAACATTTATGAATTCATTCATTATATAACTTTGAAATTAAGTGAATAATATTTCCTTTCTTTTTCATTTGAAAAAGGTTGATGTAAAATTCATTTATTTCATTTCATTTCTTTTTTGTTTTTAGCTTGATCAACAGGGAACAAGAGAAAATGAAATCTGTTTTGGAAATAAAATGCTTTTGTTTACACAATATGATTCTCAGTATTTTTATTTCCTTGGTAACTTTTATATCAATGTTGGCATTACATGTTGGAGGTTGGTGGGGGGATGAAAAGAAATGCCTGAATAATCGAATAATGCCTCTTGTGTACCATCAAGATGAACAAAAACAACAACAAAAAGAATAGAAAAAAAGTAAAGTGGAATAAGATTTAATAATTTAGAAAAAAAAACTTGAAAAAAATAATTACAAAAAATGATAATTTTAAAAAGTTGAATTTCAAAATCCAAAAATCCAAAAAACCTTAGAATCTAACTGTGAATGAAAGTGAGAAAACCTATGTAATGTTTTAATTCTCGAAAAAACAACAAAAAACAACCAACCAACGAAAAAGTAGAAGTAAAAAACTAAGCAAAACAAAATCCCAATGGAAATACGCGAATCATTGAGTCGTTTTTTATCTCTCTTGGTTACATCTTCCGAAAAAACAAAACAAAACCAGATTGGTTTTTTATTATTATTTTATAATTTTTTTTGTTATTCTTGTTCTTGTTGTTGAAAAAACAAAAGAATTTTAACAACAACAAAAAGATATTTTCCATTCATTCGGATAATTCACAAAGTTAAGATTCTGAGATTCTAAGATTTAGTTTGAGATTCTGTAAATTTTTCATTTTAATTTCTTTACACTTGTATTTGGAATCCTTTTGTGATTCCATTATACGAATTGAGTAAGAATTTGTCCTAAATATGATGAATAATTGAAAAGAATATTCGGAAACTACATTTTTTTTAACCCACACACACAGAATAAAACCGGTTACAGTATTCTTAGCGCATGTGTAATGCCAAATTCATTTTTTTCATTAGAGAAATGTCAGAGAGAGAGAAAGAGATAATCAGTGTTCAATGAATGTAAGATTCCGGGTGAGAACAAGAAAAAAGAAAGAAAGTCAGACTTTGTCTTTTATACGATGACAGAATGTTCTCTGTGTTTCAGAATAGAAAAAAAAAGAAAAAAGGATTGCCGAATCCATATGATCCATTCAATACAAGCCTTAAAAAAATTTTTTTTTGAATAAAAAAAAAATTCAGCCATCCATAATGATTCTATCATCCACATGTATGATGTTGTTGATGATGATGATGACAATGTTGTACGACACAACAAATAATACATCACTTTTTTCATATATGACCGTGTCATCATCATCATCATCATCATCAACATAATTCGTATTTTGTGTAAACGAGTTTGGCAACAAGAAAAATGAAAATGAAAATGGAACTAAATTGAATAATCTTTTTTTTTTGTGAACATTGAACGATCGATTTTTTTTTGTTCAATTCTTTTCAACTTTTTTTTTCAATTTTTCAATTTTTTTTTCGCCAGCATCATTCGGATGATGATGATGATGAGCAAATGGAAAAAAATGAAAGGCGTATTATGAAAGAAAAGATGTGCTATGCTATGCTATTGTGTGGAAGGGGAATAGAAGGGGACAAAAAAAAATTTTTGATTCTAAAATGAAATATGTTTGTTTGGAATGTCACTCCCAATTCGTTTATTTTTTTTTCTTCTTCTTTTCATATATATTATTATCGGTCGTTTGGATTTTTGATTTTTGTTTCTGTTTTTGTTTTGTTTTTGTTTTATTCGGCACACAAAATTCAAAACCAAATCAACTATAAAAGTGAAAACTATCGTCTTTTTTGGATTAGAATTCTTTGAGAATTTTTTGGATATGCAGTGTATTGATGCTCGGATGTGCGATTCAATATTTGATTTCAATATCGATTGATCAGATTTTTTTTTATTTTCTTCTTTCATTCGATTTTCGGGCATTGTTTCTGATTTCTACATCCATTCACCAGGTTTTTTTTCTTCCATTCATTTGATTTGATTCTATTTATTTGGCAAAATTAGTGAAAAAAAAGACTTTTGAATGAAAAAATTGCGTGTGTACAATTGTGTCGAAAGAATGAGAAAAGAAATCAGTGTGTTTGCACCGAGATCAAATTTTGTTGAAATTGAAAGGAAAGGAAATAAGGATTTTTTCTTCTTCTGAATCAATGACTGACTATATCATGCTGATTTTTTTTTGTAGAAATCTTTAATCTTTATTTAATGAAACAAAAATAATAAATTTCATTGTTTTTATTTACTTTATTACCAATAGAAAATTTCAAATAGAAATGCAACATTTCACATTGGCTAAATAATATTGCCAAAATCTATAGATTTTTTTTTGTATTGGAATGAAAAACCAATGAACAAAATTATTGACAATCAAAAAAATTTTAAACATTTCTCTATTTCAAGGTAACGATGTTGAATAGAGAAAAATACAAACGAAAAATTGTTTTTTTCCCATAGAATCTGGAATCTGAAAGAATCTGAAACAGAAATTTCATTTTGATTCATTCATTCATTCGAATTACATTATTTTTCCGTTGAAAAAGTCCATGTGTAAATGATGATGATGATGGCCTCGTTTGTCATCGTTAGGTGAACGATAATTGATTTTTTTCTACTTTCTTTTTTCCCTTTCCATCATTATCATTTCGTTCGTGAATCCAGTTTCTGTTGTTGCTT